AAAGCGAAAAATTTACCAATCTTGTCCTTAAATTTTGTATCTGCTGCTCTTTTAACCAATAATTAGTTATCTTATTCAGCTGAATGTTTTGTAACTAACAATGTCCTTGGTTACAAATGTACATGTTTATCAAAAACAATTTTATTATGCGTAATGTAAAATAAACAATGTCAAGTCTCATTATTCAAGGACGTTTCTCTTATCTGAAAAAATAACTTTAACGATGACTTCTGCATTTCAGTGCCCTCACACTTAGCAAATTATATCTTATAACTTTATAAAAGTTCCATAGAAGTATTCAGGCTTCATCTTGAAAATTTGACTGTATCACTTCTTCAAATGGTTACCAACCCCTCCCACCTTAAAAAATAAATAATAATAACTGAAAATTAATTTTGTGCCAGAAGTGGTTTTCCTATCACAATGGGACAGTAACTTGCCAAATGATAACAATGGAACACACTAACATTAGGATGATGTCATTTTAATGATTTCACATCTTCATTGTTCTTTTTATCTTTGTGTTTCATCATACTTGCACATACAATATAGTGGCAAAATAAAAAACTTAACAAGACATTATACGATAGCGAAGTTGTAAACACAATGTTTTTATTAATGCCAAAAAGCCTAATCTATAATGGACACGATAATGTCAATAAATCATTATCAACCAGTTTTTGACCGTATAAAGCCACCACTGACCATTGGCTCGGTCATTTTAAGTATATGATAGTATAATGATAGACAGTTTGATGGCTTTCTTTTGTAATGTTTCTTGTGATTACAAAACATCAATGTTTGAAGCAATTATATGTCATAAAAGCTTTAAACTTTTAAGATTTGTGAGAAAAGAGGCGATTCTTAGGTTACACACACTGCCGGTTTTACTTTTGGAGGAAAAATTTTTTTATTCGGCTTTTCCCGGGGAAGAAATCGGGGCACCCAAAAAGAATCAACTCCTTTTTAAAACCGATAAATAGATAAAGGGGTTCCTTATATCAAAAGAAAAAATTATTTCTAGTGGTAAGAAAAAAAAAAAAAAAATTTTTTTCCCCAAAAAAGTACATTGACATTTTTTTCATTCATAAATCATTAACAAATTTTATTTTAGTGCACACAAACTTGGAGAAAATACATTTAACATCAAATTTGAATACCAAAGCTCCACTTGCTTGAGAAAATTAAATCTGATCTAAAACCATATCAAAAAGTCACTGTCGTACTTATTAGTTTGTACATTTGTGTCATACTTTTTAATCATACAATCGGAATATCATTGTAAAATGAAAAACTGTGTCCCAAAAGTAAAATACAATGACACGTGACATATATGAATAATTAAAAAAGAATATATTAATAACGAATCAGATCTCAAATCGCTGTTTTATTTACTTAAGAATGCCTTTTCAGAAATCGCTATTGCTATTCATGAATTGTTTTCTTTTAATAAGCCAAACTTTTAAATGAATTCTAGAACAATCATCGTGACTACCCAAATACATCTAGCCAAAAGTCATTAATTCTTTGTATAAAAATCGTCCAGTAATCATCGATTTCTATACAGTGATTATTGTTCTCTTTACCTCAATTTTAATAACACTGACTCCAACCTTTCAAAAATGTCTGGAAAAGAACTAAAAGACAAATAAAAATGGTGTAGATCGTTTTTCATTTTCATTTCCAACTCATTAATTCGTTGGTAATAACTTGCTAACAGTTTGGTTATTTTACGTCATTTGGAATATATTTTGAATACAAATGATCATTTCGAAATGCAAATACATGTAGTGCTGCAATTTCCTCTTTTGGTTTATTATATTGTAATTATGAACTATTTTGCAGACACAATAAAAAAATACATCGGAAAAAAATATTATGAACAGAAATAAAAAAAATATTAACCAATCATGACAAATCCCAAATAAGGACTTCTAACACCTTGAAAAAATTTCTCTCAAATGTCTTGCTAAGTCTATATCAAAGGTTCTATTCGAAAGAATCAATGTAGTTTACCGATATATAAATATACCTTTTGAGAGAAACACATTAATAGAATATCGGAATCAGGTTTTAAAAAGACTGCCATAAACAACATTTGTTTGCCATCATCTCTATAAATAAATTACGTTCATTCGTCATATATACCAAAATACGCCTAAGTATTGTCTCAATATTTACTTTACTGTCTGAATCATGACTTGACAGATACGTCAACATCGTGACAGCCATTTCTTGTTTGTTCAGTTTACAATGTCAGGAAGACACCATAAAATATTTTCGACATTTACAGGCAACCTATCAGAACAAACGACCTTCCGTAAGATAGATGAAAACATTAATTGCGAAGTACTTAGCGCGACATATAACCCCTGGCCCGTAAAGAAGCATCACAGAGAAACTCCGAACAATAAGCTATTACATTGACCATCCTACGCCTCACTACGCTATTGAAAAGAGGCTAAAAATGAGAATAAATAATTAAAATACTAAATAAAAAGACACACAAACTTTTGTGCTGCTGGTAGCTTTTTGTATCTGATATTGAACACCCATTTACTTCAAATGGACTGTTCTAAATTCTAAGCAGAAAAATCAATTATTACGGTCCAGCATTTTAAGTTCTGATATAAATTTGACTCAAGTATGTCATGAATCACGATCACAAAACGCCGTATCTGGAAATCTTTGAATTTATAAAGTGTTTATAATGTATTATTTACTGAAAGAATGCCATATACCATCCTGCCAGCATTCTCTCAATTGTCTTTTCATGATATGCAACATCATTTTCAACATACAAACTTTATAATGATATGTCATTGCAACAAATATATTCAGAAAAAATCCGTCTCATAAACGCCATCATATTGAACAGAATCGTCTTGTAAGCATCGATTTATTCACTTATTTTAATTTTATTAACACCGACTCCAAATTTTCATAAATTGTCTTGGAGAAAGCTGTAAAGCCATGTTAAAATCATGAGATCTTTGTCATTTTCATTTCCCTCCCATTTATTTCCTGGCAATAATCTGTTAACATTTTGTTGAATTTGTTTAACATCCTGGGAAGATCAGGCTGGAAGCTTCATTTTTCATTAAAATAAGATGTTTTTTAAATGTTTTTCCCCAAATCCAAACAGAATAACTTGTCAATAACTTTTTTGTCTTTTTGAGAAATTAATGATAAATATTTTGTTCTCGATATGGATTTGACAAAGCAAAGGTAACTTCATCGTGGCGCCATCATTTACTAAAAATCAAAACATAGGAAAAAAACAATAATATAAAGTTTATAAACACAAAATCAAACAATCAACAACTTAAGTCATACACTCGTAAACTTTAGTACATCATACAAAGTTTGAAGTTATAGTTTTTATTGATTTAGAAAAATCGTCGGACTTTTTTTGTTAAATCAATAAAAAGTTATTTATTCTACCAAAGAGGGATTTCATTCATTGAATACTTCTAAATCCGAAAAAAAAAATCAAACTACAATGTACAACCTTTCCTTCTCGATGAACAATATGGTGAGTTCCAGTTGGTATACAAATATAATGAATATTATTATTCCAGTGAATCATTGTTGTGTTGCATCTAAAGTCATTCATTAATATCAAACTTGTGAAACTTGAATAAAGGAGCAAGCTACAATGTTATATTGTTCGTATGGTGGTTAAAAAAATCTAGATATCAGTTTATAATCTTCAGGCTTTTTCGACTAGAAGAGACCGGTTAAATGGTCATTTTGGTAAAATAAAATATCTTTTTAATGGTAATGATAAACGATCTCGATGTTTTATGGTACATGCAATCACTTTGAAGACCAAAACAATCCAGTTCACACGTAACTTTGCAAAGTTTCAACATCATATCAACGAAGGAAGTCATGCAGAACCGGGTAGCTATGAAGAACCAACTACATTAAACAGATAACTGAATGGCTTCCTTGTAGACTAGTGGTCGAATGAAGAAACAACGAAAACATGTTTTTCAAATAAGTACATCGACATTTATTCGAATGTATTTGGTGTACATAAATTTAGATCACATATATTTAACAACATCGGAATACAAGCTAAATTTCTTTTAATTCGCAAGAACAATTATGCTTATACAATACAAAAAAGGAAGACGATTGCTTTTCGCAACAAAACATAACAATAAGAAAATACATTTAAATACATAAAGCACCTTTATATCTAACAGCACTAAAAATGATATGTTGCGTGTATTTCCTTTCAATATTGCTCCGAGAATGTTCAAGGATATTTAGATAAATCTAACATTTCTCCAATAAATAGATTGCTTCAGTCATGAAAACTTATCTAAAACTTCATACAGAACTGTTTACAAACTAGATGTTTGCTATATTGGTAACTGCAACGAAATAAGTTTTGCCAACTAAATTTTGCGGAAACAGCCAAAACAATTAAGACATGTCTGTTTTTCTTGGCATAAACTGGGTCACTGATAATATTGACCCCATCACTTCTGGTAAGTAAAGCTATAATTTAAACTGTATTAGGTGTGGGCTTCTTTCCGCAAACGGCGCTCTCCGTTGTTGCCCTTAATACAAAATAATCACACAAAAGATTTACATAGCACTTGATAATAATGCATCAAATCAGGTATAAGATATATGGTTCTTAAAACAGTGTATAAATTGGTAGCGACATATTTGCTGTAAAAATGTATAGAGCATAATGAGGTGATCTTAAGTGATATCTTTGCTGAAATATACAACATTTTTGAAATATAAGCAAACGATCTTTAATCAACACATCACAAGTGTCACAAGATTAATTTTGTTTAAATCATGATGGAGATGTCCTTTCTTTATTTTTCAACTTCATTGTATAATCAAGTAAATACACCATACTTTTTAGTCACCATCAGTGATGACTACCCGCTATATTTTCTTCTAATCTGGTCAATTTACTAAGCGGACGTGGTAATGGGAATTGCGAGATAAATTAGAGTAAGCAAGCAAAGATCTTTTATATTTAAAAATCTTATATAGGGGGACAATGTTTCATTCTTCAAACACAGGAAATGTTCTTTTAGTCTGTCAACGGTAATGTGCATCTTAAGACTGATCCAGGAAATTTGTACAACATCGTACACACTGTTCATAAACTGTATCAAATCCTCCTAAATCCCTCTCGTCATCCTGAAATATATAGCATTATAATGATTTATTATAAACATATGTGACTGACACTGACTAGACTGATTAACCAAAGTTCTGAAGTCAAACATACCTTAGATAAACTACAACAAAAAGTGAAGAAATTTATTGTTTTTTGTTGTTGTTTTTTTTTGGTTTGGTTATAAGGCGCACAAACACAATTAAAGGTCACTTGACATCAAAAACATAAAGATGAGGTTGGCTAACTTCGGGTGTTACAACTTTAAACAACACCAGGGATCACAACCACCTCACCTGTTGCAGCTAAGAGTCGTATAGACTTCAGTAATTCAAACTCATTTAGCAACCTCTTACGATAACGCAGGGGTAAACGGTGGCTGCAATTATTACGCCTCAAAACTTATAGGCAACCCCTCACCCACAATTGAAAAGAAATTTCTTGTGAAGTATCTTTTAAATACCTTTGTAAAGAGACTGAAAGATGTCTGCTTAACAAGCAAATTCGTTGAATTTATATCCCCGCCGAGTACTGGTTATTACTAACACAACAACTGAAGACATAAGGCTTTATTTATACATTTATCATGGCATAAACAGTAATATTCTTTGAACTTGATAAATATTCAGGGCAATAACAGAGCCTTAACTCTGTGTTAAACAGTAATATCTGGAAATGCCAATGAGATGTATGCATACTTTATTACTAATCAAGGGCCATAAATCTGAGTTATAAGTGTCTGACCGGAACAAGGCGACTATATGCACATCTCCTCTTCGTATCCCATAAAGTTTCATTGAATTCCAGCCAGTAGTTACAAAGAAGTAGCACAGAAACGATTATTGCTCTGGTGGAATACTGCATAAGTTATCAAGGGCCATAACTCTAAGTTAAAATGTCTGACCCGAACAAGGCTACGATATGCCCGTCTCCTCTTGGTATTGAAGGTTCCAATAAAGTTTCATTGAATTCCAGCCAGTAGTTGCAGAGAAGTAGCGCAGAAACAAATATTTTTCTATATGCTTACTGCATAACTAATCAAGGGCCATAACTCTGAGTTAAAATGTCTGACCCCAACAAGGCAATGGTATGCGCATCTTCTCTTGGTATTGAAGGTTCCAATAAAGTTTTGTTGAATTCCAGCCAATAGTTGTAGAGAAGTAGTGCGGAAATGATTTTTGCTCTATATGCATACTGCATAACTAATCAAAAGCCATAACTCTGAGTTAAAGTGTCTGACCGGAACAAGGTGACGATATGCGCATCTCCTCTTGGTTTTTAAGGTTCCCATAAAGTTTCGTTGAATTCCAGCCAGTAGTTGCAGAAAAGTGGAGCGGAAACGATATTTACTCTATATGCATACTGCATAACTAATCAAGGGCCATAACTCTGAGTTAAAGTGTCGGACCCCAACAAGCCGAAGATATGCGCATCCCCTCTTGATATTGAAGGTTCCCATACAGTTTCGTTGAATTCCAGCCAGTAGTTGCAGAGAAGAAGCGCGGAAACGATTTTTTCTCTATATGCATACTACATAACTAATCAAGGGCCATAACTCTGAGTTAAAGTGTCGGACTGGAACAAGCCGACGATATGCGCATCTCCTCTTGATATTGATGATTCCCATAAAGTTCCGTTGAATTCCAGACAGTAGTTGCAGAGAACTAGTCCGGAAACGAAATTCGGACGGACGGATGGATGGACGGACGGAAGGACGGAAGTTCTCACAGGACAGTAATTATGTGGCTACTCTATTGTTCTCTCTATTGTTCTTTTTAGCCACACAAAAGAAAATAGCCACATAAAAGCATTACGGAATGAATGACATCAAAGAGAAAGAACAGTTACCTATTGTCCCTCTAGCCACATAATTACTCTCCAGTGAGTGCGGACGGACGGAAAGACGGACGGACGGACAACGCCAAAACTATATCCCCCTCCCGATTCCATCGGCGGGGGATAAAAAGGGTCATTAATTGAGATGCATTATAAACATTTCCTATGAATACACATATTGAATACCAAAGATAAACATAGAGAAACAGGTGTGCTGACACAGTCGTAAAAGTAGTTACTTGTGTAGTTTTCTTTTTTTTACAAAAGAAACAATGTGTGAAAACAATCAATTTTCAAATAAAAAATTATTTTATGAGATTCCGATAAAAGAAAAACTTAAATACAATGTACCATATTTACATAAAGTTTAAGAATAATCGAACAGTTGATAATTTTAAAAAGATAAAAATTGTATAAATTTTAACAAATTCGTGTATCGTTCATCAACAGAGGTCTGTAAAATGGAATTGAAGCTTTATAAAGAATACATGCATCTCAAAAAATCTTAATATTCTCTAATTTTATTACAAATATACATCGTAAAACAGAATTCAAAACCAAGAAATTACATGAATAATGAAACTGTGTCTCTAATTCTGAATAAATGACACTTAAATATGAATTATTAACTCAAATAACTCATGAATCACGATCTCAAATCGCTGTATCAGGAAATCGTTGAATTAATCATTTTAAGGTGGTGTTGTGTTTGAAAGCATTATTTACTTAAGAGATGCCATATTCATTCCAGCATCGCTCATTGATATTTATGAATGCGTTCCTTTTTCAAATACAAACTTTGAAAGAACGTTCCCCAACAATTCATCGAGAATACAAATATGTCTCACAAGTGTCAAAATTTTGTATAAAATCGTCCAGTAATCATTGATTTATACACTGATAGTATTCTTTTCGTCCAATTTTTTAATAAAACTGACTCCAACCTTTCATAAAATGTCTGGGTGAAAGCTGTAAGCCAAGTTAAAATCATGAGATTGTATTCATTTTCATTTCCCTCTCATTTATTTTCTGGCAATAATTTGTTAACATTTTGTTTAATTTACGTCCTACGCAGATCAAACTGGAAGCAATATTTTTCATATCATGAAAGGGCATGATGGCCATAGATCATTCACATAAGATCCAATTCTAGAAAAAGTATAAATATTTAATGCATAAGTAGCACAAGTAGGTCACAATTTTCAAAAATAAAAAATTATTTTATGAGATTCCGATAAAAGAAAAACTTAAATACAATGTACCATATTTACATAAAGTTTAAGAATAATCGAACAGTTGATAATTTTAAAAAGATAAAAATTGTATAAATTTTAACAAATTCGTGTATCGTTCATCAACAGAGGTCTGTAAAATGGAATTGAAGCTTTATAAAGAATACATGCATCTCAAAAAATCTTAATATTCTCTAATTTTATTACAAATATACATCGTAAAACAGAATTCAAAACCAAGAAATTACATGAATAATGAAACTGTGTCTCTAATTCTGAATAAATGACACTTAAATATGAATTATTAACTCAAATAACTCATGAATCACGATCTCAAATCGCTGTATCAGGAAATCGTTCAATTAATCATTTAAGGTGGTGTTGTGTTTGAAAGCATTATTTACTTAAGAGATGCCATATTCATTCCAGCATCGCTCATTGATATTTATTGAATGCGTTCCTTTTTCAAATACAAACTTTGAAAGAACGTTCCCCAACAATTCATCGAGAATACAAATATGTCTCACAAGTGTCAAAATTTTGTATAAAATCGTCCAGTAATCATTGATTTATACACTGATAGTATTCTTTTCGTCCAATTTTTTAATAAAACTGACTCCAACCTTTCATAAAATGTCTGGGTGAAAGCTGTAAGCCAAGTTAAAATCATGAGATTGTATTCATTTTCATTTCCCTCTCATTCATTTTCTGGCAATAATTTGTTAACATTTTGTTTAATTTACGTCCTACGCAGATCATACTGGAAGCAATATTTTTCATATCATGAAAGGGCATGATGGCCATAGATCATTCACATAAGATCCAATTCTAGAAAAAGTATAAATATTTAATGCATAAGTAGCACAAGTAGGTCACATTCAAAGTAATCAGAAGTCAAACATTGGCAACCTAAAGAAAAATCTTTTAAAATGATAATGTGCAAATCAGAATGAACAACTGCTTAGATATTTGGTAAGTAGCATAACTTAGAAGCTATGTCCGGCAGGCCATCATCTTAACATAGACTCATGTAAAACTCTTTCAAAATCTTATCAGTAATCATACAGCATAGAGCCTTGTTACTTGAAAAGTACCAAGGCTTAGAAGTTCTTCACCTACTTTGCTCAAATTATGCCCCTGGAATAAAAAAACTTCTTCTACATATAAGTATTTTAAATAAATAAATTGAAATAATCTTCGTGTCAAAACCCATATAACCTTGATATATGAAATGTAGAATTCTTTAGTGGTTCTTAACCACGGTTTTATATTTGTCCTCCAAGCCCACTCTGAGGTCAATTTATGTACAAAATTTGTCCCACTCTAGGGGTCTATTATATATAGTAAAATCTCTAAAAAAAATCTTTAAGTCTTAGAACTGCAAGGACTAGGACATTTAATTTTAGCATGTACAACCATTAAGTTTTCTAATATGTAATCTATCCTGGCAAATCTTCATAACCTCAGATTCCCTTTCAAAATTCCAATTATTTAGTTCCGCCCATTGTTTTCTTGTTTAGGGCACACGCATTTTTTTACTTGGGAACCATATGCCGCTTTTCATGGAATGGCACTTGCATGTCACACTGAAGGTTCCATGATAACCGTCACATGAACTCACCTGCGGATGTTTCAAAATTTCAAATTGTACCAGTTTGTGTTAAATGTTGAATTCTGCTTAAGCTGGTGCTAGGGGGGCTTGGACGGTAACTTGCACTTTCCAGTACCGTCCATGAACAGGCTCAATCAAACCGAGCCTGCAACATTTTCAAATTTGCCGTGTTGGGCTTTCTTTAATGATTCTGTTTTTCTCTATTTTATATAACATTAAAACTTCAAGCTTTGGTACACATAAATCAAATTCATCTTCAAAATAAATTTCACATTTGAAAACATAAAAAAACGTTCAAAAGATTTAATTCACTGAATACTCCTGAATTCTAGAAATAACAATATAGAAACATACCAACAAACATATTACTAACCTAATTTTTTTTATCTGAGACACAATATGATGCAAAGAAGATTTGGTGATAATATATAAATTCAAGTTACAACAACATAAAAAATTTCACCATTTCTTCCAAGTGATTTGATGATATGTAGCATTCAAAATGCATTATTTTGAGAATTTGTGATATTCAAAATAAGGAAATAGCAATGTGATGTTACAGTTTTCATATATTATATTGTGAGTTACTTTATATTCTACTCAAGCTATTTTGGAATTGTAAAAGAAATACTTACAAAATACGGATCCCTAATAATACGTTCTCCTTTAGGATCATATTCTCCTAACATTTTTAACTTGGCAGAACAGTTTGTTGGCTTTCTTTCTTCAAGTTCCCTATGGAAAAAAGAATCACATGAATATGTGACAGCCTACAAATATGAATCACTATGTTTCAAATAAAATTAACAAAATAATCAAGGCACTAGGGATTGTTGAATAAGCACAGACCTGCAGGATAGCTTCAAGCTTTTAATTGTCCTTTTACAAGTGTAACTGTTCAATTTTTGTTGGATTTTAAGTCACACCGATACAGTTATGGACATATGGTAACTTTCCAGCTTGACTGGTAGTAGAAATCCACAAATGAGCCGCGTCATGCCAAAACCAACGTAATGAGTTTACGACCAGCATGGATCCAGACCAGCCTGCACATCCATGCTGTTTGCTTACAAACCATATCACTAGTAGAGAAACTGATAGCGAACAGCATGGATCCTGATCAGACTGCGTGGATGGGCAGGCTGGTCTCGATCCATGCTGGTCGCAAACGCATTACGTTGGTTTTGTCTTGACGCAGCTCAAATATCCCTCTGTACATTATTTCAGGCACAGGTGGGCACTTAAGATAAATGTTATAAAAACTTGTTCTTGAGGTACATTGTATCAGAGAGGTTATATGTGCATGTGTATCTTTTTGGCAGGGCTTATCATAAATGACATCAGTAAAGTAGTTTCAGTATATGACTTCCATTCCTTTCCAAATCTAAATGTACGTTATATATTTATGGTCATCATTCAACAGTAATGTATAAAACCAAAAAAAAAGAGTATTTCTTGGCTTTTTTTTTTTAATTTTGCAATGCAAAATTTTCAATTTGTATACAGGTATCTACTGGGTCACCACATCATATTTAAGTTCTTGTGTTGATTACAATGTCATCATATGATAAAGAATAAAAGAAATAATATTAAAGAATAAAATAATATATCCATATATCAGGCTATCAGAGAGCAAAAAAGATACTAACAATTGTCTAATACTTACTCCATGTTGGCATCATCCATACCAAATATTACATCATATCTTGTGAAGTCATCTCTGGTAACCTAAATGTATTAAAAATAAAGATTTGAGATAGTAAATGGTTAAAAGGACTCCACTGAGGTATTTTGACATGATGGGACTGAAAATATTTTTTCCAGATAAATGTATTATTTGATGTAGGTTTAGACCACTAATCTTTGTGCAAAATTTCAGATCGATCGCGCACTTCGTTATTCCAGAATAATTATTCAATTTGTAAAAACATGACCCAAAATGAAAAGCGTTTAAACGCTTGTCACTCAAATCCAGCTAAGGAAAGCATAATAATATTCAATTTATTTCAAAGTATATTTCTTAACTATCTTTGCATATATTTCTGTTTTAAGTGCCCCAGCTCATTTATGTAAGAAATTCAAATTGTTTTTAGGCTTTTAAACCTCAATGGAGTCCCTTTAAGAAGGTAAATGTGAAGTAACACAATCCATGCATTCATTTCTTAGTGAAAAATTAGTCTTAGTCTTTATAGAAAATAAATTTCTAATTACCTCCCTTCATTTACATGAAATGTCAATTTGGTAATATCTTTACAAATAATGCTTTTTTGAACTTACAATACTGATAAATCTCCATTTGAGCATCAGATTTATGATATAAAATCATGATCTTTAAAGTGTGCATCTCCATAAAAAATGATTCAGAAATGAATATTTAGTTTTGATTGAATCTTAAAATGGTTCAGTGGAAAATTGGGAAAGAAATAATAATTATTTATTCTTGTAATATAACATGTTCTCAGCTGTGTTCAAGAAAAATATTTAATCATCCATTAGCAGGGAAATAAGTAAAGTGATTAAGTACATTTAATCAGACTTTTAAAATGCTTACAAATGAATCACTTTATATTACACTCACTAACAAAGTTATGTCAAAATTCTATTATTCCATCATAGTCAATCAATATAAGGGTTTAATCAAGATCATGATGGGTTTTTATGGGTGCCAGGTTAGGGGAAGGTAGGAGATTTTAGCCACACCAATACATATGGCTTTACTAAAGGAATAAAACTCTCTGTGAATATATTTCTGTCACAGACAGGCGCCTGAGTAGAACCAACAACCTTCTATAAGCTACCTGGATAATTTTCTAGCATGAAAGATTTCAAACTTTCTGGAAGCTAGGTGACTTTGTTCAGAACACAAAATAGTGAGAAGCAATATGGTTCAAAGTCATAAATGCCCCTGTTTCATTTATTTAATCATTTACATTTGTTAGAAATGTAATTAATTGGTCTGAGGAGGTAAAATATTGTTTAATAGACACTTTAATTTTACAAAGACTATGTATAGTTGTACACCAGGTCAAAGTCATTATACTTTTAGGAACTGATTAAATACAAAGGAGACATGTTTATATTTCTGAATACAATTTAAAAACAGGAAAAAATGGAATTTCACTTACAGCTCTGGCTTTATGTTTATAATCTGTAACACCAAATTTCTTTAAAGTTTTCATTGTTCTGTTGTTAGGTCCATGACCTATATGCCATGTTCCGAGGGCTGCACTATCAACTTCCCACTGAAAACAACACAAAAACCTTCAATTATCAACAAATATTTGTATCAACCATGTCATGTCTTAGAATAAAATGTTTGGCACAGTTAAAAACAAAAACATGGAATATTGTCACAAAATAAAACCATCAATAAAGAATATTACTCTCCTGTTTCATTTATAAAATTCTGAAAAAGGAGCAATTATAACAAAATTGGTATGCAAAATATCACAGACTTGGTTTTATTGTGTCTGTTCATGAAAAAAATCTAAAGTGTAACATTTTCCAGACAAAGCAGCACCACATCCTTCCCTAGAATTGAATCAGTATCTTTAGCAGTGAAAGTATTGGAATCACCAGAGGACCAAAAAAAAACCTCAGATGAGATACAAAGCATTTATATTGCCCCCTATACAGTCCTTGTAGTCCTTGAAAGCCACTGCTGCTAGTGGAAAAAAATCTCTAAGAGAGATGCCTTAAGAGCACTGAAAGCAAGAGTTTCTCATGAGGCAGAAGGCTCAACTACATGCATTTAGGTAAGAGTATAAGCAAGCAAAAAGGAATTAATTAAAATCCATTATAGCATAGATCATAATCATTTTTTATGTTAAGAGGTTGTAAAAAATAGTATTATTCAATATTCATATATAAAAGTTTAACCTTTTCCCTTATATAAGCGTGTTTCGACGGCTTTTTACCCCCCCCCCCCCCTTTTGAGGCCCCAAACAGTGAATAAATGTCCTATTTAGACCCCAAACACTGTTTTTCGTTTGAGAAATGTTGTTAAAAAAAAGTGACCATTTTTTCGGCGCCGTCCCCCGTCCAAATAATACATCAGGGGGTTGCCAGAAGGGGGATGTGCCCCCTTCTGTTTGGGGGGTTTGAAGGGGGGCGGACTCCCCCTCATCGCCAAGAAAATTTTGGACTTGTGAGAGGCTTAAAATGACCCCAGGTTGATCATAAGGTAACGTGTAACCAACGCTGAAAAGCCTTTGACTCTATCTCAATCCCTTGAGAAGTTGCAGCACTTTGAAATAAATTTTGATGGAAAAAATCGAGGCAAAAAAGTGATTTTTGGCAATTTTGAGATGTCCCCTCTTAAATAATATGAAGTTTGATTAGTATTGAAGCATTTTTCATAGTTTCATAGCAGTTTGAACTTGTAAGAGGAGGCTTTTCAGTGAAAATGGCCATTTTTCACAATATGCTCATGGGGGAAAGGGTTAACTAAAAAAATATAAATGTTACAAAACAACAATTTTTCACCAAAATTAGGTAAAAGACCACATGTTAACATGGAAAAACTAGATTTTGGGTGATTCCAAGGTTTTTCATCATTTTTTGTTAACTAAAAAAATATAAATGTTACAAAACAACAATTTTTCACCAAAATTAGGTAAAAGACCACATGTTAACATGGAAAAACTAGATTTTGGGTGATTCCAAGGTTTTTCATCATTTTTTGTTAACCTTTTCCCTTATATAAGCGTGTTTCGACGGCTTTTTGCCCCCCCCCTTTTGAGGCCCCAAACAGTGAATAAATGTCCTATTTAAACCCCAAACACTGTTTTTCGTTTGAGAAATGTTGTTAAAAAAAGTGACCATTTTTTCGGCGCCGTCCCCCGTCCAAATAATACATCAGGGGGTTGCCAGAAGGGGGATGTGCCCCCTTCTGTTTGGGGGCTTTGAAGGGGGGCGGACTCCCCCTCATCGCCAAGAAAATTTTGGACTTGTGAGAGGCTTAAAATGACCCCAGGTTGATCATAAGGTAACGTGTAACCAACGCTGAAAAGCCTTTGACTCTATCTCAATCCCTTGAGAAGTTGCAGCACTTTGAAATAAATTTTGATGGAAAAAATCGAGGCAAAAAAGTGATTTTTGGCAATTTTGAGATGTCCCCTCTTAAATAATATGAAGTTTGATTAGTATTGAAGCATTTTTCATAGTTTCATAGCAGTTTGAACTTGTAAGAGGAGGCTTTTCAGTGAAAATGGCCATTTTTCACAATATGCTCATGGGGGAAAGGGTTAAAGGATACTAAGGTTCAATGGAGGAATAATTCTTGATACACTAGAGTTAATAATTATGTAATTTACTTATATGCTGTAAGGGTGAATATATCAGGAACAACTATTCCAAGTTTGAAGTAAATCCTGACATAACAAATTCAGCATGGTTTGGTTACTGCTGTCTTAATACAAATGTAATACAGAGCTGATTTCTATATCTTTTTGTCACCTAACACTTTACAAGTTTGTTTAACTTAATTCGTTATTAAAAAGAATAAACTTTTTAATACAAACAAAAGTGAAATTTAGAAAGTAACAACAAGATATGAAAATAATTAAATGCCCATTATGCTCAAAGAATGCTTCTATTTTTATTTCTCAGAAGCTTTTAATCTTTTGTCAATTGGTGTCCTGTAAAAGTTTCCAAAAAGTTACTCACTGGACAATCAACTGTACCATTATTTGCTTTGGTTGCTTTTTTGGCAATTAGTACAGTTACATGGATTTTAGTAAGATGTATTTTCATTTAATGTCACACACTACTTTGTTTACATTTTGCTACTTTCAAGAGAAATAATTTCACATTTAGCACTAATTTCTTCACTTGAGAAGCATCTTACATGCCCTATTTAAACATTACAAAACTCTGTTTGCCTTTTTAAAGGAAAAAATAATCATTTCTGAGACATAATCTGCCTTTAAGACTATAGTTTAAAAGTTTTATTAAACTTCTTCAATACTGATTTTAATAATGACAATCCTGTGGCAACAGTATATACAGTCAAGCCAGCTAGCAGTCTGACTTAGCTTAATTCAAAATACATTGCACAAATAAAGCAAGAAAACTGTTCACTCCACTAACCTCATCCTTCAGACTTCTTTCGTTGAGCAAACGTAGAAATACTGCCTCTGCAATTGGAGATCTACAAATATTTCCTGTAATAAAAAAGCATAGTGGAATTGTAATAACAGCAGAAACAATATATGCCTTGAATTGAAAACCACTAATCAGATCACCCTGAAACTAAGACCACTTTTGTCCAGTTCTATTGGTGACATTAATTTTAATGATTTTTAACCGTATAAACTAAAAGATTGCAAGAAATTAAAAACAAAGTAAACAAGAATAATAAGGCATTGGAACAGTCTCTATCTTGAAGTCAAAAGCAGTTCCAGCAATAAAACCTTTTCAGGAAGACTGTAGACAGTCATATTCTAGTTCTAGATTTTTTCTTCTTCATTAATTGTAACGCTACATGAGAGCCTTTACCCTTATCAAAAATAGCAGAGTTTAGCTGTAAATACTGTTGTGAGAACACTGCCATTTTCAAGTCTTCGAAACGATACATAATGTAGAATATTTATGTCTTCAATACTCAGTACCAATAAAACATACTTTTACGCATCTTTTCTTGAATATTTATTTTTCTCGAATGATTGCTGGAAATCAGTGTGTTGTAACCAGTAGTTTTGCTATGATTGGCTAAAGTGCAGTAGATTTCGATTATTCGAACCCATCGATTATTCGAAGTAAATTTTCAGTCCCCGGCAATTTGAATAATTGGGGTTGGACTGTATCTTCAAAAGTGATGGTTTTGAAAAAGTTTGCCAGAAGTGCATCAAAATTATGGATAATAAGTTTGCCTGCTCTTCATTTGAGGTTACATGTATTTTGGTTCATTGTCTTATAATTTTTGGAGCATCAAGAATCATTACGCAAAATATTTATTGATTCAAGTATACTGTACAACTTATGATAAATTACAGTCGAAATAATAACCTTTATACGCAATTTAAGTTATTTATTCATAAAATATAGAATAAACAGAAATAGATGCTGAGTCAATATCAACTTCCGGTAGGTTTCCATTTCAGGATATCCTTCAGGGTAATCCAATACGGAACAATCACAACTTTTCGGATTAATATAGTGTAATAGCGAGCTCGAAGAGCTGGCCCAAAGGGCCTGCTCGCAAAGGTAGCTTTACAGTAACGCGAGTACCTGCTAGATAGTTATGGATTTGCAAACTTTCATCCGAAGTACTGAATTGACACATCGCAACTTTTCGAATAACAAGATAACAATAAAAGCGGAGGTATTCTGATTGAAAACGGAAGCGTAGACTGGTGTCCTGCGTCTTCTGTGGGACCTATAATAGGACAGGGAACCAGAATAAACGGAAGCAGTGTCTAAAATACCGAATGACAGTTTTAAAAACGGAAAATGTAAAATAAAAATGAACAATTATATTTGATACTATTTCACGGTTAAAGTAAATCGAACTAGCTTTGAGGCTTTGCGTTTTTCATATCAATCATCTAGTGTTCCAGGTGAAAACTTAATCAGTGTATGAAATAAACAATGACACATTAAATATTGAAAACTGAACAATTTTTTTTTAACAGACTTCCTTGTTCATAGCCTTTGTCAAATTTCATATTACGAGAAGTCAAAGGTTCGCGGTCCCGCACTTTGACTTGCCCGGCTATAGACTATAAATTATGGCCATAATTATATGGCGACTGAATACTGAATTTAATATAGGAAGTGGCTAGCCGTACGGGCCCGTACGGCTAGCCAAAAGTTCTAGCCGTACGTGAGTCATGTATGACTAGCCAGGACACACTGTATTGTCTAGCCGTACGGCACTTTTCAAATTTATATAAAAGTCGAAATTATACATATATGTTTTTTCATGACTTTAAGCGAGGATTTTAACCATGAAATAGTAATTGTCTTCGTATATTTACTTTAAATAGAGATTAATCGCCTTGTTGGCTACAGTAAAAGAAGTACGAATATCGATCTTTATCATTTCAAGACACCGAGAAAAAATAGCGTTAGGTCGCAGTTAAATAACATCAATTGAAATAGTTTACAAAATTTTGATAATAATCCTTTTTTGTTTCATAAAGTTTAATTTTCGACACCTTTAAAATGGAAAAAAAAAATCAATGTTAGGCTCTGATATTTGCGTCAATTACCGACGGTATAGAAGTTTGTCCATCATTAAGGAAAGTTTGCATGTTCCGTGAAACGCATTATAAAATGTTATTGTCAGTCCCTGGGTAGGCTTTATTTAAGGCTTATTAAATTAATGGTTTGTGCTTTTATGTTCGATATTTATCTACTGTACTTGAAATTATACAATTATTTTTGCTTTTCACCGTTTTTTTTCAATGTTCTATGTATTTATTTATTTCACTCCGATCATTATTTATTCGATCCATGTGCTTAATTAACAAAAAAACATCTTTCAGTCAAATAAAACAACAAATCATTATCATGAGGCACAAAATAACATATGCATGGTCGACTTCTATATAATTTTGAAAAGTGCCGTACGGCTAGACATAGTCCAATAGATTAGACGTTACAGGCTTGTTATAGTTTTATGTTGGTCAAGCCTGACGTCTAATAGTTATTGATCAAAAACGCGTAGCATTTTGAAAAATTAAAAAAATGTCTGTTGACTTGCCTTTCAAGCTTTATTCAAAAGCTTATCTTCTGTTCTTTCAATTGCATGGTCTATCATTAACAAAAAGTTTCAAACAAAGTACTTATTAATTAAAAATAAAATATAAATATCAATCTATTTCGCTCATCGGCCATACTGGTTTAGTAAAGCGTTTTACAGATTAATTCCAATTTTTTGAACGGAAAAATATTTTCGAACACACTGACGGTGCATGGGCAATTATTTCGTTGAAAAAATATTCCGTTAGAAACTTCTGAGGTCATTTAAACGCTTGCATTTGAATTAGCCAATCAGATTTCGCGCACTGTATGGCGGCCATTTGTATATCTGCTGTACATTGAATTTAATTAAATGAGAGGATTTAATCATGACTTTTCGGGTGTGACAGTTCAATTATTTTGTTGAAAGGTATTTAATTTTTAGTTTTGTTCATAAATAGTTCAAAATTTATGTAAATACACGCTGTTTTAATTGTTAAAATGCATTAGATCTAAATCGATGTCTAATGTCAATTTTTTTGCTACACGATTTTGCAAAGATCTGTTAAGACCTAACGTAACATGGAAAATGAAAAATGTAAAATATCAGATTAATGAATGATAAATATGAAATAGGTTACGTATAGGTCTTATAATTAGGACTAGGCTAGACAATACAGCGAGTCCTGGCTAGTCGTACGTGACTCACGTACGGCTAGAACTTTTGGCTAGCCGTACGGCTAGCCACTTCCTTTAATATATATATTTGAAAGGAAATCAATCAATTTTAAAAAATTAATACGTGGAAATTAAAGGCCAGTACTAATGATAATTTTCGAGTGTTTAGAGTGAAAACGGAAGAAGTGCATGAAATACCGGATGACTCCTTTAAAACAGAAAAAAGTAACGATTTTTAAGCATACTTCTTATTATCCGAATATAGGCTACATCCGAAATATATATCATTCACGCTATCTATTAGCGATAAAATGAGAAGTTACAACGGAAAAAGCAAAGTGAATTTTAAAAATTGTGAGTAAAACAATACATATGGATAAATATTGTAAGTTGTCAATACCCAAACAAATGAATAACACAGATTTCTTCTTTGATGCCATTTTGGTTAAAAATACAAACAACTTGATTTAATTGCACACCGTTTTTTATTTCACGAAATGAGAATGTAAAATCCGGATAGAGTAGGGTGTCGAAATACACGATTAAATTAAATTTTACTAAATGTCTTAAATAAGTTTTATATACTTTTTTATTTTATAATTTGTTACATGTATGATGTGTATGAATGCTTCAACATGACAATGTACTGTCTGACTTTGTTCACTGATCCTATTGAACAACTGTATCTATAACCAGATACATGTAGGTAAAGGGACCTGAGACTCATTTGTTTTGGGATGCTTTTTCGTTAGTTTCCGTTAGTAATTACGATTTTCTAACTGATTTTGAATGATAAGAATGTTCTCGATACTAAATTTCATATCAACGTCCCGATGGCCTGGTGGTAAGTATATGGTAGCATAACAATAGCAAAGTTGCAAGTTCAAATCATCAACAAACTTTTTTTTCATATTTCTTTAATTATTTTTTTTAATTACATGCAGCATTAGTTGATGAATTATCCCTTTAAATTCGTGTGTCTTTTATTGAAAAAAAAAACAAACAAAACTTGATATATATACACTATATGTACATTGTACATGAATATGCAAATTTTCATAAATTCAATTTGAACAGTCTCGCAATGAGTGATTGGCATGCACAAAAACTTAGTAGCCAAGTTTCGCAAAATATAATATGAAAAGAAAATCATTAACATACAGTTATGCCATACTTTAAAATCCGTATAATTTACTTCGGATTCCGACAGTAACCGACAAAAGGTCATTGAATATTTTTTTAAAAAGTCTCAGGTCAATTGTTTGCTTGTTTGTTTGATTGGGTTTTACGTCACACCGACACAGTATATGTCATATGACGACGTTCCAGCTTTACTGGTGGAGAAAGACCTCAGGTGCCCTTCTACATATATTATTTCAGACACGAATGCGTACCTCAGTATAACTACCGACGTTCCGTAAGCTAGCTAGATAGTTTCCTCACATGAAAGAATCCAAAGTCCCTGTCGGGATTCGAGCCCAATTACAGCAGTGAGAGGCAAATGGTTTGAAGTTAACGACCTTAACCACTCGGCCAAGGACGCCCCGTCTCAGGTCAATATTGCCAAACAATAATACTCCATTGAAATATGTCCCTCATGCCTAAAAATAGCAATCAAAGTTTAATGGATGTAGATTTGACCCCTTTATAGTATACACCGTTCGAAAGTTAAATTGAATATGAACAATCATACAAACAGAAGTAAGTTATTTTTTTCCATAAACTAGGGGTCAAAAATTGGTATTATCCTGGTATACCGAATTTTTAAAACATACAAATTCCCAAAGCGTGTGAAGATTTCCAAGTTATGTTTAAATTGTCTAGCTATCTGTAAAAACTACGTTTAAATGCACATTAATTTTCATCTGCAAGAAGTGTAAAGTATGTATCAGTTTCCAAATTTTATACGTTTATTGAAATTTCCCAAATTAAAACCTATAAAAATGGTTGTTGAAAGCAGGGTCTTTCATATAGGACATAAGAAATAATAAAATAATGTTAATATGTAAGTTAGGAGTCACTCAAAATTTTCAGCAACATTTTCATTACATCGTTCCGAAAACAAAAAAGTTTAGGTGAAGAAAAGTTTTAACGGTTTTACCTTTGACTAGTAGTGCACTAAGTACTAGTCCACTTTGTGTAACCTTTAGTGTGAACTAAACTGTATTTGTCATCACCTAACTTGCATCAAATACATCCCGTCAACTTAATAAACCACATGGTGAAATATCGGTGCAGAATCCAAATATAAAAACAGTTTTGAAAGTTCAATTGTTTAATTATTTACTTAACTAAAGACTTATACTAAAGACTTATACGTATACATGTACTGTACATGTACTGTATATAAGTTTCCGACTATCTAGTTTTATTTTTCAAAATTTTTGTAGCAGGACAGCTAAAAACAATATGTTCGTGAGTATAAATATCTGGGACGCTGTACTTATTATGTCCAGAAGATGTTTTTATAAATTTCTTAATCATATTAAAATTAAACATCCAACCGATTATTTGAATCTTTATTTGAATGAAGCAAGGTTGTCCACTTTTTCACTACAAATAACGTCGGAAACTCATCGATAATATCATATTAAAAACAAACTTGTAATTATTTTTTGTGAATAACTTTCCACAATTAGCAAAGATCACTGCTTTACAAGGAGTCCATGAGCAAAGGTTCCCATTTCGGGAAAATAGTTCATTTCATATCAATTCTCGCTCATGTGACCATTCAAAATGGCCGAAGTAAACAACAGAAATAGAAATACCTACACAGCTATAACAATGATGGTCTTTTATATGTTTTTTCTTATATCTGTTGCACATGCAGTTGATAATCCCAACATAATATTTATTCTGACAGATGATCAAGATGTGACAATGGGAGGACAGGTGTGTATTCATGAGTTATTTTCATCGGAATTCCAACATGATCTTCATAGCCTAAATGGGTTGGTCTTTTCACCTGCTTTCCCGAACGTTGCATTACTGCTCATGTTAAGAATTCAAATAAAACAAAATTTAGGTTTTTAATCTGCAAACGAACGAAAGATAAAGGGTTTGATTATTTTTGTTGGACTAAGGGAAGTAACTAGGTCTGTTCAAATAGGTTAGTGTACACTGAATTATCCCCCTTAAACAACTTAACATCTTCACAGGTATATGCATCCCTTTATGTAAATAATTTGAATCTGAATATATTGATGAACTAAAAGGGAACATGTGAATGTCACTTTTACCCTATTTTTTTTAGATATTTTTTATCAGGAATAGATGCATGGCTCTTAGCAGGTAATGGGTTATATTTATAATCTAGAAACTCTTGACTCTACATGAATCATATATATATCTATATATATTGTTGATCAGTACTTCAGTAGTCAGTACCATTTGACTTCTTTGTGGACCGACAAGTCAATGTTTTATAGAAATAATTCTATATTATATTAAACTATATATCATTTCTATACATTCTTTCTTTAAGATCCCAATGGCAAAAACAAAGAAATTGGTTGGTGATCAAGGAATAATTTTTAATAACATGGTAAGTTAGCTTCGTATAGTCTCTCAGTCACAGTTTAACATTGATGGTACTCATTTTTTTTATAGATCATTACTGGACATTATATATTGCACATCAAATATGATTTAATAGGAGTAAAATTTACATAACTTTACAAGTTCAGGTCCTGTTTTTCAGCTCAGCTGTGCACTAATTTTGGCTTTTTTTAGTACCCTTAAGGGTCATAAAAAAGCCATGTATCCTTATCAGAGTGCTAAATAGAGTTAATGTACAAATCATAATGCATATATACTGTATAATTGAGCAGCGTTATGACAGAACCAACATAATGAGTCCGTGCAGTCTGATCAGGATCCATGCTGTTCGCTATCAGTTTCTCTACTTGTAATAGGGTTGGTAAGCGAACAGCATGGATCCTGATCAGACTGCGCGAATGAAGAATAGTATTGAATTTAAGTCAGGGTAAGTTCTTTGTACAAAACTGGCAGAGTAAGATTTAGAGTGATTTTGGCCGTATCTATATTAAATATTTGAAATAAAGTAGAAATATTTATATTACAGTTTACAACAAGTCCTCTATGTTGTCCAAGCAGATCAAGTATATTTACAGGACGGTATGTGCACAATCATAATGCATTGAACAACTCAATCAGTGGTAACTGTAGTAGTCCAGCCTGGCAAAAGACGCAGGAAACTAATGCATTCCCAACATATCTGAAGTCACATGGATATGAAACATTCTTTGCGGGAAAATATTTAAATCAGGTATTTCTATGTTTTAACATTTAAGCATTTATTTAACCGCCTCCATGGTCGAGGGGTTAGAGTCGATGACTTCTAATCCAGTTACCTCTCTGGTGTGGGTTCGATCCCCGTGAGATGCTTTGGTAGTTTAGCATGGAGGAAGGTAGTCTAGTAATGGTGTAACTCTCCAGGAACGATGGTTAAGAAACTACCCGCCTATATGACTGAAATACTGTTGGGAAAAGGCGTAAAAGAAACCAAAAAAACAAAAAGCATTTATTTTTGTCTCGGACATTTTACCAAAAGTTATTTATTGACTGACTGAACAGGAGCATTGTGTTTTTATTCTCCTATTTTTAATGATTATATAATAAATGGTTAATTAGATATATATAGTAAAATGTCTGCATACCAACACCCTTTGAGAGAAGATTTGTTCACAGTTGTAAGGAGGATATATCTGTATAGAAGGCCAACCTGCACAGGTTGCACTGTATTTCAGTCTGTACTATTTATAGGGTAACATGCATGAGACTCTTTAACCCTTAACCTGCTGAATTTCTAAAATGGGCCTTTCCAATTTCCATTTTGGAACAGTCCATTATCAATTTTAGGTATATCAAGGTGAGAATTTAATTTGGTCAGCCAGCAGTAGAGAGCCTGGACGTGCAGGCTGGCCTGGCTCTATACTGGTGGCAAAGTCAAATCATTTTCACCTTCAGCAGGATAAAGGTTAATGATATTGATATATTTGACCTTATTTTGACCCCTTTCCCTCATGAGCATATTGTGAAAAATGGCCGTTTTCACTGAAAAGCCTCCTGATACAAGTTCAAACTGCTATGAAACTATGAAAAATGCTTCAATACTAATCAAACTTGGCACAAATGTTGGCTGGACCATTGCCTTTGTAACGACATGCTCAGTCTTAAATTTCCTGTTACCATGGTAACGAAGGGACATCTCTAAATTGCCAAAAATCACTATTTTGCCTCGATTTTTTCCATCAAAATTTATTTCAAAGTGCTACAACTTCTCAAGGGATTGAGATAGAGTCAAAGGCTTTTCAGCGTTGGGTACACGTTACCTTATGATCGACCTGGGGTCATTTTTAGCCTCTCACAACTCCAAAATTTTATTGGTGATGAGGGGGACTCAGCCCCCCTTCAAACCCCTCAAACAGAAGGGGGCACATCCCCCTTCTGGCAACCCCCGATGTATCTTTTGATGGGGGGGGGCGGCGCCGAAAAAGTACTCACTTTTTTTAGCAACATTTGTCAAATAAAAACATGTGTTTGGGGCCCAAATAGGACATTTTTCACTATTTCAGGCCTAAAAAAAGGCCTGTTGAAAGTGCGTTGTTTCGCGTTTATATGAGGTAAAGGGTTAAGTGCCAATTTTATCAAATAAGTACATTTTGCTTAAAACACCTGATAAGACCTGCTTTGGATGTATACTATTTTCACAATCAGTAATTATTTAGACATTGACTGTAATGTTATTTCAGTATGGTAAAAAAGCAGCGGGTGGTGTGGAACATGTACCACCAGGCTGGGACAATTGGTATGGATTGGTATGTATTAATAAGTACTAGTAAAAGGTCACATATTTTGGGTAGTGGGGGCTTAATGATGAATGTGTCCATATTTCAACCAAGATACATTGGATAATGATTGGATCTTTTATTTGCCAGGTCTATATTTTCTCATATGACATGTGTACTGTTCCAAGGAAATGATTAGATAGTGATTGATATAAAGTTACTTTTTCCACAATTAAGCTTAGATTATTATCTTTAACTAAATTAAGATTACACATTAATGGAAAGTTAAGATCCAGTTTTATTAAAGGGAAAAAAATGAATGTTTAAAATATTTATATGTGAGATGTAGTCTCAGCTTTAGAAGGTATAACACCATATTAAGCTTCTGTAAACATGTAAGATGTAGTGTCAGCTTTAGAAGGTATAACACCATATTAAGCTTCTGTAATTCAGAAAAAAAAGAAAATAGAATGTGTGTGGTATAGTCTTTTCTAAGTAAAAAAGAAGTTATATATAGACAAAAAAGAACACCACTGACCTGGCTTTATACTTTGACATAAGTTTACTAGTATTTAAGTTGCATTTTAAGAGTTATTGAAAATAATGGTACTAATTTCTATATTTTCAGGTGGGAAATTCTGTATATTATAATTATTCATTGTCAGTAAATGGAAAACGAGAAAAACACGGTGACCAGTACCCACAGGACTATCTTACTTCTGTAATTGTAAGTGATGTCCGTCAGTGCATGTATGTTTATTTCAAATGAGTAAGAGTGCAGTCAGTTTAATTTTTCTCCATTTTATTTCATGTTCAACTTAAAAGCATGAGTGTTAGCCGTGTTTTGCGGGTTTTTTGGTGGAAGTTATTTGTGTAGTTGTCCAATGTAAGTGACAGCTTTAATGTTTCCATTTATTATATACGTAACTTAAAAGCTCTATGTTCTAGCTATCATGGGATTTTAGTTATTGTACAGGTAGATATCAGAGGGACATGGGATCATTTAAAATTAAACCTGGAGCTAAATCTAACCCTACAGACTATAAATGTTGGAATAAGTGTTTAACTTTTGGGGATAAAAAATTCATTATTTATTGTTTTCAATTAAAGCTTGTTTGGTAAATATAGATATTTACTTAATAATGTAAATTGATAAAATTCTTGCCTGTTTCAGCATAAAAGGGCTCGACAGTTTCTTGATGGAAGACATAAATGGTCAAATAGTCCATTCTTTATGATGTTATCAACCCCGGCTTGTCATAGCCCCTTTACTCCTGCTCCACAACATAACTCCAGCTTCAGTAACATGACAGCGCCAAGAAATGGCAGTTACAACGTTAAAGCAAAGGTAGATATTATTTTCTCATCCCACAAGTAATAAACATGATACTGAATATTATCGTTGCAGTTGTTTGTTTTAAACAGTCATCTTAGACAATATTTAACAAGAAGTCATCACACATGTAATAAATATTATATGGAATATTATTGTTGCTGTTATTATATTGTACACACTAAGAAGAAATAACAATTTTAATACTATGCTGAAAAGGCTGTGTTATGATTTAAAAGATGAAGTTTTGAATTTAGTTAGTCAAACATACACTGTAAAGGCAGTTTTACTTTACTGCCAAAGCAACTTTGGAACACATCAGGTGCCTCTCAGTGCATTATTTCTGGCAAAAGCAGGCATCAGAATGATGGCTTGCCAGCCAAATACCTTCCTGTAATGAAAGAAATCTGAGCTCTTAGAAGATTAATATGTTCATGTCTGTTTATTAAACATTGAATATAAATATACTATTAAATCCTTGATATATTCAGTATAATTATCTGATATTCTATGCATTGCCTTAGGAAAATAAAGATTTGCTGAAGATTTTACAACAGTAATCAAATATTTTGTTACTTTAACTAAAATGTATACTATGTACATGTAGATACTACATGAATTTATAATAATTTGATACTTATGATTTTCAGAATAAACACTGGCTGATAGAGCAAGCTATTGTACCGATGCCGGATGATTCAGTCAAGAATTCTGATGAAATTTTCAGAAACAGGTAAAATTATGTCACCAACCTGACCAATCAACCACCTTTAATATAAAAATTGGTGTTTACATGTAGGTCAAAGTTCAAGGCCATGAAGACTTTGATCACTTAACCCTTAAAGTGCTGGAACCGAAAGCATTCAGCCTTTGCCACCAGTATAGAACCAGGCCAGCCTGCACGTCAGTGCAACAGTCCACAAATGGAAAGGGGGAAAGTCCATTTAAAATATTCAGCATGTTCAGGGTTTAAACTTGTCCAACAAACATCTAGAGAAAACTTTGGCCTACAAGGACATGACCTCTATCATATAAATACTGTAAATTCATTAGTTAATGTTTTGTCTTATGTTTGCATGTGATATTGTATGAATTTTTGTATAGCAGGAAATAAAAAAGCAATAAAATATGATTAAACTAAACTAGATGACCTCTATTGATTAAGAGGTCAGAAGGTCAAGGGTCACTGTTGCCTTAACCACTGAAAGCTTGTCTGACCAATAACTAGGGAACACTTTAGCCTACAGTAATAAAATTTTATGTAGAGGCAAGTCATCACTAGTAGATGAACCCTAATGATTTTGAGGTCCGAGTTCAGAGTTCACTAGAGTCTTGACCAAAAAAGCCTGTCCGTCAAATTAGTATGGAATGCTTTGACTTACAGTCCTCTGATTCGTTGTTGAACTTTATTTTGACTAGTAGATGAGGCCTATTGGTTTTGAGGACTGAAGGTCAGGGTCACAGTGATGCATGAAATACTTGTCTGATCAAGAACATCAGTTTTCTCGATCATAGGTTGTGGAAACCATTAGTTATAATAGTAAATACTTTTTTATATAATTATATTCATTATAATGTATGATTCTATACTTTTTAAGGATATGTAATTATGCCGCAGTCATAGCTGATGAATGGACATTACTAGTGTATGTGTTTTTTTTCTTTTTCCCCAGATGGCGAACATTGCTGTCTGTAGATGACATGGTAGAAGATATATTAGATACACTTGATTCTAATGGGATTCTAGATAACACATATATATTCTTTTCATCTGACAATGGCTATCACTTAGGTACGTACTTGAATTTGAAATGTTCTTAAGTTATTAAACACATCCAAAGGGAAAAAAATGGAAGAATTTTCAAAGATATTAGGAATAAAGATGATTCTTCAGCAGTTGACATGAATAATTTATTTTACCATTGTCTCTTTAATGAAAACACTAGAGAAAAATACATATTTTACTTAGCGTAAAGCATAGATGTATTTGTGTTTTATTTTGTCAGAATAACTTAGTTGAGTCTTTGTTTTAGAATGGCTTGAGTTAAAAAATAGAACAAGGCTCTCAATGATACTGATACTTTTTTCTACAGTGAACTCGAGTATCAGTTTAGTTAACGGATATTCCGTTTTTCAAAGAAAAGTGACCCAATGGCATCCCTGCTTAAAATCAAACAATAGAATTTCATAAACATAAGATACCCATGAAAAATTTATTTTTCTGTACATACTGATGGATCCTTAGTAAGCTTTTGTAACGTTTTAATTCACCACCTTTAGTTTTTACATATTGTAATGCTTATTATGAGTATTATGAAGTTCTACCAATGTTGTAACATTTTGTCTGCAACATCATTTCACAATTATTTTGGCTAGATTTTTAAAATCAATTTCACATTTAAGAATTTATTCTTTCAAATTATTTTTCTCATTTTGAAAATTTTAATCTATTGTGAACAAATACATTTTACAAATTATTTTTATCATTATAATTGTATATGCATTGTATATGTTCAATAGGGCTGGGGCGAGTATCCGAGTACTCGGATAATCACGAATTAAAGTGAAAAATCGAGTTTGAATATTCGTAAGCCCACAGATCGTGGATCGCGATCTAATCTTTTTTATATACATTGACTGTTTCTCACACTTTTAAAATCGATAAAATACGATTTGAGTAAATATTATATGAAGTTTACCTAAATACAATTTACCGGTTAAAGACCATGTATATCATGATGCTGAGCTAGGAAGTAATTGGTTTCAAAAAACAAAACAAAAATACTCATCCAAAGAATAAAAGCATAAACCTAGTTTATATTTTATATGTTTAATGTTTAGTATTGTTTTTTTTTTAAATAAACATGTTTTTATAACTTATGTACATGTTTTTATGGGTGTCTTGATAACAAAAGATTTGTGGTTCGATTTGTGAATCGTAAGTGCTGAATCGTGGTTCGGATCGGATCGTCACTTATCCAACGATCCACACCCCTAATGTTCAAGTACATGTTCAAAGTCAATTTTTTAACTGTGCCTCTACTAACATTGAACTTTTTACTTACCACATCAGATTTTATTCTTGTTAACATGAAGTGTGTGTAATAAAGGAAATTTTGACTTGATTTGTTTATTTCAGGTCAGTTCGGTTTACCATATGATAAAAGACAACTGTATGATTTTGATATCCGTGTGCCGCTGATGGTTAGAGGGCCTGGGATAAAGAATGGAACATTTTCTGATGTAAGATTAAACTTTATTTCACTTTACTACAGAAGTGTGACTTAAATGGAAAGACAAGGTTAGAATAAAAACTTGATTTCAGAAAAAGAATAGTATAAATAATAAATCTGCAAATTTTCTGCCGCCAAATAATAATATTAAACGAATGATAACAAAATTTAAATCGCTAAATCACCGATTTCTACAAATCAGTAAGCGCGGCCATGTTTGTGTATTGGCCGTATAAAAACAGGTGCGCGTGATGTCATTTCCCCACACATCTTTAGATTTATGATAAATCTAGTTGAATCGTAGGGAAATATTAATATAATAAAGTATTGACCAGACAATTTAATTTTCACAGGAGGTGTAGAGGAGATTTTTTATGGTTCAAAATACGTAACAATATCCAAAAAATAAAAATAATAAAAAATAAAGAAACCAAAAAAAAAAATCAACGTCTACCGATCGCACCACTTCAGGCCAGTGATGCTCGTTACTCCAAACAATACTATGCCAGTCAGTTTTAAGTTTTTTTATACTCGGCGCCGGAATAACCATATGTCCGAGAATTCAGCATCTGTGCCGGTCCACTAAGGTAGTCGCATCGGGGACGTCTTTTTCAAGCTGAGTCTTCCTGATATTCCCATTCTTCGTTCGTTGGTGGTAGAGGAGTACGACAATACTGGCCAGGCATCATGTTCCATACTGACGATAACAAAAACGGCTCTCATTAGCGCCAACCCTCCAGAGTTAGTCACAACAGGTCAACCAATCAACCCTGGTACTTAAGATGACTTGACCTTGGCCTGCCGTGTGCCTTCTCCGCGACGTGCACGCCTCTGGAGGGATTTGGAGAAGACAATACTATGTTCATTAAAGTCTCATCTTAATGTAATTAAACAATATTTCAGAGATTCAATAAATACACATGTTATTATTTAACAAAGTTTCACAATCAAATAATGCAATTAAATAAACAAACGCTGCTTGCCAACGAATAATTGGCTGTTAATTATTGAACGGCGATAATTATCATTATTATAAAAATCCTACTAAAACGTGTTCTTATATATAATAGTACATGTAATTAATTTTTTGCAGTTTGATTCTGACTTTCAAATTAAAAGGTGTGAACATATGTTATAATTGACGTAGATATTTCAAAAATATAAGCAATTCTTTTGAAAAGTAAATTGTTAAAATATATCTGTCAACCTATGAAGTTGCGCATCGTAATCGTAGCCTAATATTAACTGCAGGCAAAACATTTTTATTGGCTGCTCAAAAATCTAATTTGCATAATTTATTCACACAATTGCTGGTTCTTACTACTTATGTCTAATACTGTGCATTGTCCACTTTAATTGTTCCTAATTTGCACCAAATGTTCCTGTCACACTGTGTACTGACGATTTTTATTGCTCCTTGTATGCCTCTGTGCCGACAGACCTTTTGATCATGCACAATGTTGCCCTGATTGGTTAATCACCCTTGTCAAATATTCTAATGACGAAATAGACATCTATTTTTTACGCTTCATCAGTGAACTGAATGACCTTAGGGGTAATTAAGTCAAATTATACTGTAAATTACAGCATGTCATAAAATAGCAACACATTTTTTTTCAGTTACCAATAATCATTTTAAATATTAAGTAGATGATTTTTTGTTTTATTGGATTAAATTTACGGTAGTAGAAATGCGTATCTGTGTGGGAAAGGAATTGGGTAAGTAGATAACGTGGAAAAAAGCTATAGAGAACTGGATAAACCTGAGAATACGCGTTTTTACAAGGGAAATGGCAACCTGTTGCTGTTGGTACCAGTTTTGACTGGGTACCTAAATAACCTAACGGACAGTTTTGTTTTCATACGATATTAGTCTGGCTGCTGATTTTCCTGCGCCATTCTCATTTTTAGCGTCAATGACTGAAAATCGCGTCCTCAGCAGATCTCTGCATTTAGTTGATATTTTACGCTGAAAAAAAGATACATGACCGGCGATGTACCCAATTCGAACAGCTTGTCTACAAAATAAAAGGATAAATCGTCAATTTGAAGAAGTTTCTCATAGTACCCAAATTAAATTGATGGTTTATCTTTGAAAATTAAGCAGTCATTGCTTTAATCATGTGGTGGGATCATCAGCAAGCTTGAAAATCGGACAAATGATAATTGATGTCGCGGCGTCTTCAATTAATTAATTAAAGCAATTCAGTTCTATATGATATTTTCATAAATAATATATAATGTACGCAATAAGGTTAATAAGTTCTTCATCAATATATATTTCAGTTGTACCAGCGTGTACACCTATACCGGAAGTGGGTGTAACACGTCACAATCTCGGTCTCGTCTGTCTCGCGAGAATGACAGAACGCCAAAATGGCGGCGCCGATGAACTTATTTTTCAAGTAAAAAATAGTGTCTTAAAACACGAATTTCTCACTTATAGGATTGATGTCAACAGTAAAACTGTCATGGTACCTCTTTTTAAATGATAAATATTTATATTAGACAGACATCAATCCATCCATTCCTATTCCTTTAATACTAAAATTGTTATGTTTTTATTAGGTACAGGTATTGCTCTAAGGTTATTATACAAGTATCTTGATCCACAGGAATGCTTAAGATGTATGATCCAATGATCATGTAAAACACAAAACAGCCACGCCAGTCTGAGATCATAGTAGTCTTATTATGACCATTTTGTTACATACACATGTACCAAAATGTTATTTCAACAATCTTTTCAAAATGTTTTGATATTAACATCATACAGAATTACACTTATTTGCAATAAAGATGTTCTTTCTTGTCTGGTCATATTTGTCAGTGACAACACAAGCTGTATATTTAGCAGAATATAAACCAATAAATAATAAAACAGTTTTGTACCAGTAAATAATACAGCAATATACCAGTAAATAATAAAGTTGTATACCAGTAAATGATAAAGTTGTATACCAGTAAATAATAAAGTTGTATACCAGTAGATAATAAAGTTGTATACCAGTAGATAATAAAGTTGTATACCAGTAAATAATAAAGTTGTATACCAGTAAATAATAAAGTTGTATACCAGTAAATGATAAAGTTGTATACCAGTAAATAATACAGTTGTATACAAGTAAATAGTAAAGTTGTATACAAGTAAATAGTAAAGTTGTATACAAGTAAATAATAACGTTGTATACAAGTGAATAGTAAAGTTGTATACCAGTAAATAATAAAGTTGTATACCAGTAGATAATAAAGTTGTATACAAGTAAATAATAAAGTTGTATACAAGTAAATAATAACGTTGTATACAAGTGAATAGTAAAGTTGTATACCAGTAAATAATAAAGTTGTATACCAGTAGATAATAAAGTTGTATACAAGTAAATAATAAAGTTGTATACAAGTAAATAATAAAGTTGTATACCAGTAAATAATAAAGTTGTATACCAGTAGATAATAAAGTTGTATACAAGTGAATAGTAAAGTTGTATACCAGTAAATAATAAAGTTGTAGACAAGTAAATAATAAAGTTATAGACAAGTAAATAATAAAGTTGTATACCAGTAAATAATAAAGTTATACACCAGGAAACTGGTAAATCAACTAGGCCTTGTTGATTTTGTGCCAATACTAAATACATGTATCTCGCCCAAAAATACATCTTAACAAAAAATTCTAAATTTTCCTTTGGCATCAGTGATTGAAAACAAATTGCTATAGACATATTCAGTCAAAAGTGATTTTGAAATCACGCATTGTACATAGTAAACACAATTAAAAGCTATTTTAGTTATAAATACACTGTGTTTTGTTATCTCTTTATTCTGTTTATACTGCAAGTAATAATGAATGTTGATTATTGCTTTTATTACACAGGAGGCTGTACTGAACATTGACCTAGCACCCACATTTCTAAGTCTTATGGGAGGGTTTATGCCAGGAGCTGATGGTGTTAGCTTTAAAGACATACTTCATCCACAAGACAATGGTACAAAACCTGTACGAGGAACATTCCTAGTGGAGCATACAGGAGAATATTCTGATACTATCAAAGGCTGTCCACAGTACACTGGGCAAAACATGAATGTAAGGTCATTTTAGAATGATAATTATATTTGTATGCTCTTTATTCATATTGTTTTTTCCCCTGTCAGCCTGTATGTTTGCAGACAGTTTTAAGTAGCAAATTTTTATTTTACAAGCTAGATCTTTGACATACTTAGTAACAACATACCTTTTGACAAAATTTTTTGTTTTTTAGCTCACCTGTCACAAAGTGACAGGGTGAGCTTTTGTGATCGCTTTTCGTCCGGCGTCCGTCCGTCGTCCGTCCGTAAACTTTTACTTTAAATGACATCTCCTCATAAACCACTAAGCCAATTTCATCCAAACTTCACAGGAATGTTCCATTGGTGGTCACCTTTAAAAATTGTTCAAAGAATTTAATTCCATGCAGAACTCTGGTTGCCATGGCAACCGAAAGAAAAAACTTTAAATATCTTCTTTAAAAAAACCATAAGAGCTAGAGCTTAGATATTTGGCATGAAACATCTTCTAGTGAGTGTTTACCAAGTTTGTTCAAATAAAAGCCCTGGGGTCAAAATTGGCCCCGCCCCGGGGGGGTCATTGATTTTCCCTATATGCATATAGTAAAAACTTAAAAAATCTTCTTTTAAAGAACCCAAAGAGCTAGAGCTAAGATATTTAGCATGAAACATGTTCTAATGGGTGTCTACCAAGTTTGTTCAAATAAAAGCCCTGGGGTCAAAATTGGCCCCGCCCCGGGGGTCATTGATTTTCCCTATATGCATATAGTAAAAACTTAAAAAATCTTCTTTTAAAGAACTCAAAGAGCTATGGCTAAGATATTGAGCATCAAACATGTTCTAATAGGTGTCTACCAAGTTTTTTCAAATAAAAGCCCTGGGGTCAAAATTGGCCCAGCCCCAGGGGTTCATTGATTTCCCTATATGCATATAGTAAAAAACTTAAAAATCTTCTTTTAAAGAACCAAAAGAGTTAGAGCTAAGATATTTAGCATGAAACATGTTCTAATAAGTGTCTACCAAGTTTGTTTAAATAAAAGCCTGGGGTCAAAATTGGCCCGCCCCGAGGGGTCATTGATTTTCCCTATATGCATATAGTAAAAACTTAAAAAATCTTCTTTTAAAGAACTCAAAGAGCTATGGCTAAGATATTGAGCATCAAACATGTTCTAATAGGTGTCTACCAAGTTTTTTCAAATAAAAGCCCTGGGGTCAAAATTGGCCCCGCCCCAGGGGTCATTGATTTTCCCTATATGCATATAGTAAAAACTTAAAAAATCTTCTTTTAAAGAACCAAAAGAGTTAGAGCTAAGATATTTAGCATGAAACATGTTCTAATAAGTGTCTACAAAGTTTGTTCAAATAAAAGCCCTGGGGTCAAAATTGGCCCCGCCCCGAGGGGTCATTGATTTTCCCTATATGCATATAGCAAAAACTTAAAAAATCTTCTTTTAAAGAACTCAAAGAGCTATGGCTAAGATATTGAGCATCAAACATGTTCTAATAGGTGTCTACCAAGTTTTTTCAAATAAAAGCCCTGGGGTCAAAATTGGCCCCGCCCTAGGGGTCATTGATTTTCCCTATATGCATATAGTAAAAACTTAAAAAATCTTCTTTTAAAGAACCAAAAGAGTTAGAGCTAAGATATTTAGCATGAAACATGTTCTAATAAGTGTCTACAAAGTTTGTTCAAATAAAAGACCTGGGGTCAAAATTGGCCCCGCCCCGGGTGTCATTGATTTTCTTTATATGTGTATAGCAAAAACTTAAAATCTTCTTTGAAAAAACCCAAATAGCTAGAGTTTAGATATTAAGCATGAAACATCTTCTAGTAAGTGTCTACAAAGTTTGTTCAAATAAAAGCCCTGGGGTCAAAACTGGTCGGCCTCAGGGGTGTCATTGTTTTTAACTATATGTGTTTAGTAAAAACTTTAAAAAAAATCTTCTTTTAAAAAGCCCAATGAGCTAGAGCTTAGATGTTTAGCATGAAACATCTTCTTATGGGTGTCTACCAAGTTTGTGCAAATAAAAGCCCTTAGGTTAAATTGGCCCTGCAACGTTGGGGTGGGGGGGGGGTGTTGGTTGGGGGGGCCTATATACAGGTGAGCGACCTCAGGGCCATCATGGCCCTCTTGTTTATGTATGAAATATGTTTTTACCATAAATGGCCTGTGACTCCGACAGTGTGATGGATTACTTGAAAATGCGGTCAGCGACTTCTAATTTCAGCTTTTTTTTTGTTAAAACATAGCAAAAATGAATTATGTACTAAAATACTATATAATTTATTTACAGAATTGCGATCAGCATTGTGTTTGTGAGGACTCTATGAATAATACATTTGCCTGTATAGTACAAATAAGTCAAACAAGGAACATGAAATATTGTGAATTTATTGATTCACAGGTGAGTGACTTGTGGTCTTCTTATTTTTAAGTATTTTCGAATGTTTGTTTGTTTCTACTTAAAGCTCTTTGAGTATAACTCTATTTATAACTTATCAGACTCTATTTTTAATGTGTTGTAACATATTGAATTGCATTTTGAACATGTTGGACTCTTTATGTATGTTGGATTTTACAGTGTGCATTACATATATGTTACACATTTTGGAAGGATTTTTAGTACGTGTTAACACTATTTATAGTGTGTTGTAACATATTGGATTACATTTTGAACGTAATGGACTCTTTTTGTAGTTTGTTGGTGTTAGATATTGTTTATATTGTGTTATTGCATATTTGACAATATTTATAACATGTTGGACACTATTATTGAATATATTTTCTACACTTTGGACTTCATTTACAGTATATTGGATGTAAACATATATTATCAGTTACAAAGATTTTTAACAGGTTATATGGCCTCATATAAGCAGTTGTATAGGCAGTTCAGATTATATTACAAACCACTGTTTATAAACAGTCATATAACCTTTCCGAAATATTTATAATGAATTTATAATTCAGCAAGCATCTTTTTTTTAAAGAGAAAATGTGCGTTTTCTTCATAGGTGTATATTAATCTTTATAATACTGAACATTTGTAACATCACTTTTCATTGGATAATCGTGATGTTTATATTGTTTGATATATATACGCAGCTGCTGTCAATTTTGAAAGAAATCTCACTTTTTTTCTCAAAAAAAAAGGAAGTTTGCCGTATTATAAATTTGTGGTAGATATTCCTGACAGGTTAAATTGTTGTATATTTACGGTTGTTTGCAATATAACCCTTGCATAGCGACTCGGCTTATATTTCCAAACAGGCCTTTATATAGGGCTATATAACTTGTCAAAAAACTTTATAACTAATAATAAAAACATCATGATTATCCAATGAAAAGCATCATTACAGACATGCAGTATTATAAAAGCATTTACTACTAAGATGTAACGATATTATTTGTATTTCAGAATTCTGTTGAGATTTACGATTTAAAAGCTGATCCAGCAGAATTAACTAATTTATACCAAACAACAGATCCAAAGACTATAGCATTGTTTGAGAAACAGTTACAGTTCCTATCTACATGTGAAGGAGACAGATGTCATAGTGTTCCAACCTAGCTATAAATTCTGTGTGCAATTAGAAACCTTTTATACTTATTTGTTATCATTCCATTAGTGTCAAACATTTTTTGGAGTGGTCATGTTTCAATATTGAATCAAATATCAAATATTTAATCAAAGTTTCGAGGGTCAAAACTTTTCAGTTGGTATATACTGCATAATACATACATGTTAAGTCTTTTTTCATTTGCTGTACTCATTTGTTAATGTTAGTTAATTTTAGATATGAAAAATTGCTAGGATCCAAAGGGTTGAAATTTGACATATACAATTTGTTTATAATTATATGTGTATAGGTTATTTTACATGATGAGATAATACTTGTATGTGTTTTAATAAGCACATTTTAGCATATACATTATTTTGTTTATTTTAACCTATGTGTCAAGATAAATATGTTTTACTTTTCTGTCAGAAACAGGTAAGAAAAATGGAATATTTCTTCAACTCTTAACCTGCTAAATTATCCCTGCTTTGCATTGAGAGCAGTTCATTTAAAGTTTAAGAGATTATATCAAAGTACGAAGATTTAGTTACCAGTGGTATAAAGCCTGGTCAGACTACATGGATGTACTGCCTGGTCTGGCTCTTTTCTAGTGGAAACGCTGATCACTTTGAGTTCCTGCAAGTTAAGGGTCATAAAAGTGTCTAAAAATGTACAGCATTCTGTTCTGAAAAATAATTTAAATGTTAATAGCTTTTATACAGCAATACTCAGTTAAGTGGTGAATAGTTTTTACTATTTTAAAACATAGTAGTGAATAGTTATACTTTTATAAGCCAATTTATGTATTTTAGTTGTTAAATAGTTGGACATACATAAGATGTGTTTGATTAATTACTGTTTTAGTTTTTATTCATTATGGAATGTTTGATCTTACGTTCTATACATGTTTACATCGTGCAGAATGTTTAGCTTTCTTCTTCTTTAAAGATATTATATGAGGTTCATTTGTGCTCACATTTTCAATTTAAAAATTAAAAACTATATGTGAACGAACAATTTAGTCAGAAGTTAATACTTAAAGGCACATTATGCCTCAGAAACTAGTAAGTTTTTTAGCTCACCTGTCACAAAGTGACAGGATGAGCTTTTGTGATCGCTTTTCGTCCGGCGTCCGTCCGTCGTCCGTCCGTCGTCCGTAAACTTTTGCTTTAAATGACATCTCCTCATAAACCACTGAGCCAATTTCATCCAAACTTCACAGGAATGTTCCTTTGGTGGTCACCTTTAAAAATTGTTCAAAGAATTTAATTCCATGCAGAACTCTGGTTGCCATGGCAACCGAAAGAAAAATCTTAAAATATCTTCTTTTAAACAACCCTAAGAGCTAGAGCTTAGATATTTGGCATGAAACATCTTCTAGTGAGTGTCTACCAAGTTTGTTCAAATAAAAGCCTTGGGGTCAAAATTGGCCCCGCCCCAGGGGGTCATTGATTTTCCCTATATGCATATAGTAAAAACTTAAAAAATCTTCTTTTAAAGAACCCAAAGAGCTAGAGCTAAGATATTTGGCATGAAACATCTTCTAGTGAGTGTCTACCAAGTTTGTTCAAATAAAAGCCCTGGGGTCAAAATTGGCCCTGCCCCGGGGGGTCATTGATTTTCCCTATATGCATAAAGTAAAAACTTAAAAAATCTTCTTTTAAAGAACCGTAAGAGCTAGAGCTTAGATATTTGGCATGAAACATCTTCTAGTGAATGTCTTCCAAGTTTGTTCAAATAAATCCCTGGGGTCAAAATTGGCCCCGCCCCCGGGGGTCATTGATTTTCCCTATATGCATATAGTAAAAACTTAAAAAATCTTCTTTTAAAGAACTCAAAGAGCTAGAGCTAAGATATTTAGCATGAAACATGTTCTAATGGGTGTCTACCAAGTATGGTCAAATAAAAGCCCTGGGGTCAAAACTGGCCCCGTCCGGGGGGGGGGGGGGTCATTGATTTTCCTTATATGTGTATAGCAAAGACTTAAAAATCGTCTTTGAAAAAACTCAAATAGCTAGAGTTTAGATATTAAGCATGAAACATCTTCTAATGAGTGTCTACAAAGTTTGTTCAAATAAAAGCCCGGGGGTCAAAACTGGCCCTGCCCCAGGGGTGTCATTGTTTTTAACTATATGTGTATAGTAAAAACTTAAAAAATCTTCTTTTAAAAAACCCAATGAGCTAGAACTTAGATGTTTAGCATGAAACATCTTCTTATGGGTGTCTACCAAGTCTGTTCAAATAAACAAATAAAAGCCCTTGGGTAAAAAATTGGCCCGGGGGGGGGGGGGGGGGCTATATACAGGTGAGCGACCTCAGGGCCATCATGGCCCTTCTTGTTTCTTTTTTTATAAAAGTTAACACATTAGTTATGTCACATTTAAATGATTTTAGAGGATGTTAGAATGCTTATCCGGGGAGAAAATATATAAAATTTTGAATGTGAAAATATTTGTCATAAAAGTAGCAATACATAAACAAAGTAGTATTTTGACTTTAATACAGAATACTTAATTACTACATCTGTACTAATTGCCAAAAGCAACAGAAGCAAAAGAAGGTTCAGATAATTGGCCAATATCTAATTTTTTGGAAAACATAACAGGACACCTAAAGTAAAAGGGTTTTAAGAAATTAAAAGTAAAGCATTGCTTAGGCATGATGGTCCTTTAAGATCTGCTTACCTTGAGATATGTGTTCCATATAACAAAACAAAACAATATTGAAAATCAAATAGACATGTAATAGTCACTCCATATGCAATTCTTAGAAGTTACACTTCCTATGTCTATAGTTGTAACAAAAATCATGAGTTTCATGATACAAACAAAACTTAAAGAGACAGTAAAAGAAGGGAATGTGAAACTTGTTGCTTTTTTAGTGAAAATGAAATTGTTATAAGAATCACACTAATATTATTGTGGTTTTTATATGAATTTCAAAATGACCCTAGTACATGTATATTGCTTTATTTAATTTTTTTATCACCTATACTGTGTGATAAGATATAATCAATACATCATCATGTATATATCACACCACTTTATGTTAATTTTAATTGATAATTAACCAAAGATAATTGGTGATGAAAAGACATCAGAAATATTTCCCAATTTTCAACATTTAGCACTTTTATCCTATAGTTCTTTCTTTATTCTTTTTAATATAAAGATGTGAGAACATTCCAGGGAAGATGTTGTCAGATATTTGTTATCAATATTTATGTTATTTAAATGTTTTATTCATTATTCACTGGTACAATCAGTATCATTTTATTTTTGTTCATTTTACTAGTATTTTAATTTGTATGCAGTTTTCTTTTTAAATTTCTGGTTAAGATATAATCTTTATAAAATACTTCATATTTGTATTTTTTTTAAATATGTTTTAAGTATCGGCTGAGAATTTGAAACTTCGCAATTATACATAGTTTTTAGCTCACCTGTCACAAAGTGACAGGGTGAGCTTTTGTGATCGCTTTTCGTCCGGCGTCCGTCCGTCCGTCCGTCCGTCGTCCGTCCGTCGTCCGTCCGTAAACTTTTGCTTTAAATGACATCTCCTCATAAACCACTGAGCCAATTTCATCCAAACTTCACAGGAATGTTCCTTTGGTGGTCACCTTTAAAAATTGTTCAAAGAATTTAATTCCATGCAGAACTCTGGTTGCCATGGCAACCGAAAGAAAAATCTTTAAATATCTTCTTTTAAACAACCCTAAGAGCTAGAGCTTAGATATTTGGCATGAAACATCTTCTAATGAGTGTCTACCAAGTTTGTTCAAATAAAAGCCCTGGGGTCAAAATTGGCCCCGCCCCCGGGGGGTCATTGATTTTCCCTATATGCATATAGTAAAAACTTAAAAGATCTTCTTTTAAAGAACTGTAAGAGCTAGAGCTAAGATTTTTGGCATGGAACATCTTCTAGTGAGTGTCTACCAAGTTTGTTCAAATAAAAGCCCTGGGGTCAAAATTGGCCCCGCCCCGGGGGGTCATTGATTTTCCCTATATGCATATAGTAAACACTTAAAAAATCTTCCTTTAAAGAACTGTAAGAGCTAGAGCTTAGATATTTGGCATGAAACATCTTCTAGTGAATGTCTACCAAGTTTGTTCAAATAAAAGCCCTGGGGTCAAAATTGGCCCCGCCCCAGGGGGTCATTGATTTTCCCTATATGCATAAAGTAAAAAACTTAAAAAATCTTTCTTTTAAAGAACCCAAAGAGCTAGAGCTTAGATATTTGGCATGAAACATCTTCTAGTGAATGTCTACCAAGTTTGTTCAAATAAAAGCCCTGGGGTCAAAATTGGCCCCGCCCTGGGGGGTAATTGATTTTCCCTATATGCATATAGTTTAAACTTAAAAAATCTTCTTTTAAAGAACCGTAAGAGCTAGAGCTTAGATATTTGCATAAAACATCTTCTAGTAAATGTCTACCAAGTTTGTTCAAATAAAAGCCCTGGGGTCAAAATTGGCCCCGCCCCAGGGGGTCATTGATTTTCCCTATATGCATATAGTAAAAAAACTTAAAAAATCTTCTTTTAAAGAACTGTAAGAGCTAAAGCTTATATATTTGGCATGAAACATCTTCTAGTGAATGTCTACCAAGTTTGTTCAAATAAAACCCCTGGGGTCCAAATTGGCCCCTCCCCAGGGGTCATTGATTTTCCTTATATGGATATAGTAAAAAACTTATAAAATCTTCTTTTAAAGAACCCAAAGAGCTAGAGCTAAGATATTTAGCATGAGACATGTTCTAATGGGTGTCTACCAAGTATGTTCAAATAAAAGCCCTGGGGTCAAAACTGGCCCCGCCCCGGGGGTCATTGATTTTCCTTATATACATAGCAAAAACTTAAAAATCTTCTTTGAAAAAACCCAAATAACTAGAGTTTAGATATTAAGCATGCAACATCTTTAAGTAAATATCTACAAAGTTTGTTCAAATAAAAGCCCAGGGGTCAAAACTGGCCCTGCCCGAGGGGTGTCATTGTTTTTTTACTCTATGTGTATAGTAAAAACTTAAAAAATCTTCTTTTAAAAAACCCAATGAGCTAGAACTTAGATGTTTTGCATGAAACATCTTCTTATTGGGTGTCTACCAAGTTCTGTTCAAATAAACAAATAAAAGCCCTTGGGTAAAAATTGGGCCGGGGGGGGGGGGCTATATACAGGTGAGCGACCTCAGGGCCATCATGGCCCTCTTGTTTGTATAAATCATAAAATAATTTCTATGATTTTTATAAATCATAAATATTTTCTATGATTTTTTTATAACTTAAATGTGTATCTTCATGACTCAGGTTAACAGTGCAGGCATTGTGGAACTTGGAACAATAGAGAATACATCACTAGAACAATATGACAAGATCATGAATACAAATGTCAGGTGATGATTGGTGATTTCAACTTAATTTGAGCCGCGCCATGACAAAACCAACATAATGTGTTTGCAACCAGCATGGATCCAGACCAGCCTGTGCATCCATGCAGTCTGATCAGGATCCATACTGTTCGCTATCAGTTTCTCTACTTGTTTTAGGGTCTGTAAGCAAACAGCATGGATCCTGATCAGACTGTGCGGATATGAGGCTGGTCTGGATCCATGCTGGTCACAAAAGCAATACATGGTTTTTGTCATGGCGCTGCTCATTTAACATTATATCAGAGAATTTGAGTTTCACTCCTACCCATAGTTTAACAATATATAACCATTGTTCACTTAACCTTTTTGGCTATTACAATGGGAACAGTAAGAAGATAAGGGTTTTCATAATAACAAAATGTTTATACATGTCTGATATAAATATATACATGTAAATTAAGAAACTGTTTCTTGCTTGTAATTTATTAGTCCCCTACCGGTTTAACCGAAGTCCCCTACTGGTTTAACCGGAGGGGACTTAAAGTTAACCCTCCGTCCGTCTGTCTGTCTGTCAGTCCATCAGTCAGTCCGTCCACAAAACTGGATCCCGGGATAACGCAAAAAGTACTGAAAATATTTTTATGAAACTTGATATATGGATAGATGGCAGTATGGAGATTATGCACGTCTTTTTTTTCTTCCTATGTTGAAAATTCTGGTTGCTATGGCAACAAATAGTCTGAAAATATGGCAGATTTTAACACATAAACTGGATCCAGTGATAACTCAAAAAGTATTGAAAATATTTTTATGAAACTTGAAATATGGGTAGATGGCAGTCTGGAGATTATGCACATCTTTTTCTTTTCTTCCTATGTTGAAAATTCTGGTTGCTATGGCAACAAAAAGCCTGAATTTCAAAAAATTTCAGCTTTTTCACTATCAGTTCTTTATTTCTTAAGGTGTTTACTTCAAACTTTAAATATAAGTTTCTAGTCATCAACCACATCATATGTGACAAGGTTTACAACTCTAGCACAAAAATTATCAGTATTACCTCCCTTACACTTAGAATTTTGATGGAAAAAAAATGTTGTCTTTTTAGCTCACCTGTCACAAAGTGACAGGGTGAGCTTTTGTGATCGCTTTTCGTCCGGCGTCCGTCCATCCGTCGTCTGTCCGTCCGTAAACTTTTGCTTTAAATGACATCTCCTCATAAACCACTGAGCCAATTTCATCCAAACTTCACAGGAATGTTCCTTTGGTGGTCACCTTTAAAAATTGTTCAAAGAATTTAATTCCATGCAGAACTCTGGTTGCCATGGCAACCGAAAGAAAAATCTTTAAATATCTTCTTTTAAACAACCCTAAGAGCTAGAGCTTAGATATTTGGCATGAAACATCTTCTAGTGAGTGTCTACCAAGTTTGTTCAAATAAAAGCCCTGGGGTCAAAATTGGCCCCGCCCCAGGGGGTCATTGATTTTCCCCATATGCATATAGTAAAAACTTAAAAAATCTTCATTTAAAGAACCCAAAGAGCTAGAGCTAAGATATTTGGCATGAAACATCTTCTAGTCAGTGTCTACCAAGTTTGTTCAAATAAAAGCCCTAGGGTCAAAATTGGCCCCGCCCCGGGGTGTCATTGATTTTCCCTATATGCATATAGTAAAACCTTAAAAAATCTTCTTTTAAAGACAGTAAGAGCTAGAGCTAAGATATTAAGCATGAAACATCTTCTAGTGAATGTCTACCAAGTTTGTTCAAATAAAAGCCCTGGGGTCAAAATTGGCCCCGCCCCAGGTGGTCATTGATTTTCCCTATATGCATATAGTAAAAACTTAAAAAATCTTCTTTTAAAGAACCCAAAGAGCTAGAGCTAAGATATTAAGCATGAAACATCTTCTAGTGAGTGTTTACCAAGTTTGTTCAAATTAAAGCTCTGTGGTCAAAATTGGCCCCACCCTGGGGGTGTCATTGATTTTCCCTATATGCATATAGTAAAAACTTAAAAAATCTTCTTTTAAAGAACCATAAGAGCTAGAGCTTAGATATTTGGCATGAAACATCTTCTAGTGAATGCCTACCAAGTTTATTCAAATAAAAGCCCTGGGGTCAAAATTGACCCGGCCCCAGGGGGTCATAGATTTTCCCTATATGCATATTGTAAAAACTTAAAAAATCTTCTTTTAAAGAACCCAAAGAGCTAGAGCTAAGATATTTAGCATGAAACATCTTCTAATGAGTGTTTAGCAAGTTTGTTCAAATAAAAGCCCTGGGGTCAAAATTGGCCCCGCCCCGGGGGGGGGGGGGGGGGGGGTCATTGATTTTCCCTATATGCATATTGTAAAAAACTTAAAAAATCTCCTTTTAAAGAACACAAAGAGCTAGAGCTAAGATATTTGGCATGAAACATCTTCTAGTGAGTGTCTACCAAGTTTGTTCAAATAAAAGCCCTGGGGTCAAAATTGGCCCCGCCCCGGGGGTGTCATTGATTTCCCCTTTATGCATATAGTAAAAACTTAAAAAATCTTCTTTTAAAGAACCGTAAGAGCTACAGCTTAGATATTAAGCATGAAACATCTTCTAGTGAATGTCTACCAAGTTTGTTCAAATAAAAGCCCTAGGGTCAAAATTGGCCCGGCCCCAGGGGGTCATTGATTTCCCCTGTATGCATATAGTAAAAACTCAAAAAATCTTCTTTTAAAGAACCCAAAGAGCTAGAGCTAAGATATTTGGCATGAAACATCTTCTAGTGAGTGTCTACCAAGTTTGTTCAAAATAAAAGCCCTGGGGTCAAAATTGGCCCCGCCCCGGGGGGGGGGGTCATTGATTTTCCCTATATGCATATAGTAAAAACTTTAAAAAAATCTTCTTTTAAAGAACTGTAAAAGCTAGAGCTTAGATATTTGGCATGAAACATCTTCTAGTGAATGTCTACCAAGTTTGTTCAAATAAAAGCCCTGGGGTCAAAATTGGCCCCGCCCCAGGGTGTCATTGATTTTCCCTATATGCATATAGTAAAAACTTAAAAAAATCTTCTTTTAAAGAACCCAAAGAGTAAGAGCTAAGATATTTAGCATGAAACATGTTCTAATGAGTTTCTACCAAGTTTGTTTAAATAAAAGCCCTGAGGTCAAAATTGGCCCTGCCCCAGGGGGTCATAGATTTTCCCTATATGCATAATAGTAAAAACTTAAAAAATCTTCTTTTAAAGAACCCAAAGAGCTAGAGCTAAGATATTTGACATGAAATATCTTCTAGTGAGTGTCTACCAAGTTTGTTCAACTAAAAGCCCTGGGGTCAAAATTGGCCCCGCCCCGGGGGGTCATCGATTTTCCCTATATGCATATAGTAAAAACTTAAAAAATCTTCTTTTAAAGAACCGTAAGAGCTAGAGCTTAGATATTTGACATGAAACATCCTCTTATGAATGTCTACCAAGTTTGTACAAATAAAAGCCCTTGGGTCAAAATTGGCCCTGTCCCAGGGGGTCATAGATTTTCCCTATATGCATATAGTAAAAACTTAAAAAATCTTCTTTTAAAGAACCCAAAGAGCTAGAGCTAAGATATTTAGCATGAAACATCTTCTTATGAGTGTCTACCAAGTTTGTTTAAATGAAAGCCCTGGGGTCAAAATTGGCCCCGCCCCAGGGGGTCATTGATTTTCCCTATATGCATATAGTAAAAACTTAAAAAATCTTCTTTTAAAGAACTCAAAGAGCTAGAGCTAAGATATTTAATTTAGCATGAAACATGTTCTAATGGGTGTCTACCAAGAATGTTCAAATAAAAGCCCTGGGGTCAAAACTGGCCCGCCCCGGGGGTCATTGATTTTCCTTTTATGTGTATGGCAAAAACTTAAAAATCTTCTTTGAAAAAACCCAAATAGCTTGAGTTTAGATATTATACATGAAATATTTTTAAGTAAATATCTACAAAGTTTGTTCAAATAAAAGCCCAGGGATCAAAACTGGCCCTGCCCCAGGGGTGTCATTGTTTTTAACTATATGTGTATAGTAAAAACTTAAAAAATCTTCTTTTAAAAAACTCAATGAGCTAGAACTTAGATGTTTAGCATGAAACATCTTCTTATGGGTGTCTACCAAGTCTGTTCAAATAAAAGCCCTTGGGTAAAAATTGGCCCGGGGGGGGGGGGCTATATACAGGTGAGCGACCTCAGGGCCATCATGGCCCTCTTGTTAATTTTCTGTTTTAAGTGTGAATTAAATAAAATTGTTTTATGTATGTCCTTGTACCTTTGGGTGGGGTTTAAGGTATTTTAATAAGAGTTCAACTCCACTGTAGATAGTACCCACTTGACTTTGATGAGGTTGTACAATATACTGACTCATAATGGTATGTGTATTTTAAATGGGCTTTTTCCTGGGGTCAATGGGGTTTAAGGTCATTTTGATCAAGGTCAAGGTCACTGAAGCTAAAAATTATTGTTTTTGTCATTGTGTTATGTTCTCAGATGAAAATGCTCAACTGTTGAACTAGGTAAAAGATGAAATTGGCCGTCATGTGATTACAGAAACTTTCATAAATTTAAAAATAAAACATGAGCAAAGCACATATACCTGTAGATGGGTAATGGTGTGTTCTTTCTGTAAAAAATAACAAATTTATGCCCTCGACAAGAGGACAAAATTTGTCCTGTCTCTGACGTAATTTAGTAATTTGTAGAAATTCTCAGATGTGTGATATAGGGATATTATGCCATGTTTGTTTTATATATTATACATATTATTAGTTTTAAATTGTTTCATTGCCATTGATTAAGACACTGAAAATAATAAATCATGCAAAATTTGCATTGTGCATGTTTATATCTTTATTTTATACATGTTTGCCAGCAATTGATTTGTTTAATTGTGTAATCAAATGGTGCTATTGACCCTGGCAAAGTTGTGAAAGTTAGAGGTATTTAATTATTGTGCTACATTTCCATTACCTTTACAAGGAAAGGTCTTTGTTTTAATATAATGTTTGTTTGCTTAACAAAAAAAAATATTCCTGTTATCAAACAGGTGAAGAGAATCTCTCGTACATAACATGAGTGTAATCCCAATTTAATACATGTATAGCATTGCTTGAAATAATTTTCATCACTTAAAGCGATTCAGCATCGTCAGCCATTTTTGTTTTTACTAAGTAGGTCCAAAGTGAAAGTAGGCCAGAATTCATATGACAACACAGCTCACAATGCTAAATGATGAACACTTTGCAATAACACTTCCAGGTCTATGTTTTAAGGACTATTATAATAAAAGACGGAAATGATAACACTAAGCATATTTACCTTGAATGTGCGAAATTTCTGAAGACAAAGTAAAATATGTTGCAAAGTTTTATGAACATGAATGGCAAAATCCAGTTTAAAGTCTGTTTTAGTGCAAGATTTGATGTATGGATTCACCCAAAAGTCCAAGGTGAGGTCAAGACTATAGGCGAGATGTAGCAAAAGCTCAATTCTCTGCTCCACTAAATAAACTTGAACCAAGGCTGACTGGTGCACAGGTGCATTATCATGGAGTAATTTGATCCTGCTCACCTTCGACATTGGGTTCTTTGTAATGTATTGATTAACTACAACAGTGGGACACTACCTCTCTCAGGCACTGCGACACGGTCCACTATTCCATCACTGTCGAAAATAGAGTGTACACAACTGTTTTAACGCTCCTGCTACGTCGAGCAACAACTGGGCGATCGCTGTTTTCACCTTCACCACCATTTGTTGCTGAGATTATCGTCGAGCTCAAAGAAAAAACAAGCCAGTTTCGTTCCGTGTTTCATTCCCAGGTGTCTAGGTTTCGATCTTTGAACCTTGTCAATAGGCCGAGGCTTTTTCAACCCGCATCCTTTTCTGGTCAGAAGTTAGCAAATGCAGGATCCAATGGGCGCACACTTTTCATAACTTTTCTTTCAAGATGCAAAACACGTATGATACATTAAAGCCCGATTTGCCACTTATCTCCTCAACTTTATATCTTGCATCCTCATCGACATGGCTTTGACAGTGCTGATGTCTTTTTCAGAGGTAGCGTAAACTAACCACCCAGGGCGGGGATCATCCTTAACATTAGTACTACCTTCCTTAAACATTGACACCCACCTGACAATGGAAGGCCATTTTCTCCATAAACTAAATCTAGACCAGCTTTTATTTCTGACGCGCATTTACCCAATAACCAAGGAATTTTGCAATCAGCTCTTTCCTCCTCTCTCAAATCAAAATGCAACCCAGCCATGTTTAAAATCACATGTATTTAAATAACCTCCTAAACTTTTGTTGAACGTGCAAACCATGCGAAAATACACTGTTGGTTAGAATTCAATATTAAACATTTACTTGTCACATGCTAATCATGTTGAAATTGAGTTGTGGCCACTAATTAAAATATATATGCATGTGTCAATTGACAATATACACAACGCATTTCAAATATTCCTGCAAACTATGATAAGAATGGAACACAAAGTGTACTCCTCCTTACTTGAAATTCTACTCCTTGATTTTGAAACGTCAAACTTCATAACTGATTGACAACAATATATACCGGTATAACATAAACAGTTCGGTAAAGAATGGTTTTTAATACCACAATTCAAATTCAATTCATATCATTATGTAATCGTTTTTATCCAGGAGCATGAACCATAACATATATAATAACATATAGCTGCTTAGCTGGCAACAAGTGCTCCGTTGCATGCACCATGATGGGCAACCGTTAAGTCTCCGTGACAGTTGGCGCCGTTAAACACACACGAGTTACCTGAAAACAGATACAAAAGAAGTGATATTTTTTGTAAATTTAAGATAACATGGTTAAAGCAACCAAAGTTTAGGAGCTTTGCGGTCTTGTAGGCTAAGGTGGGTAATTTCGCTTTAATAACTTCTTTAAAGCCCATGAGATATGTTTTTAACTACACACGTAATTTGAATTGTTTTTGTTAAGGAGCTGCTTAATAATCTAACGAAAGGTGACTTATTTTGATTAGTTTTGTATGTTATACCACGTTCAGCTTAAATAACTTACTGTAAGTTTTCCCGTCTGACCCACAAACAGGATCGTACAACGATAAGCACATCACTGGCGGACATTTACTTGTAGCTCCACACGCTCCGTCACTCACATACGTAATTGTGTTGTCATGACAATGGGCGGCATTTAAGAAACAATGATTGGCTGAAATGACATCAAAGATAAAAAGCGCAAATAACATTTAGATGAATGTTGAAAACTTATCAAGAATTCCCCTGTGTAGAACTGATTGTAAAGAAAGAGAAATGTCAGAACAATGAAAGTGATACCTTGATTAAAGTTGGAGTTGGTTGTTATTTCTTAAATTATATTTTTCCTTATTTCAACACTGCACGTAACTGTACTGTATAAACATTTTTAATTTTTCCCAAGACAATGATAGTAAAAATAACTCACAGTAAGTTTTTCCATTCGACCCACAAACAGGAGCGTAATTCTCAGGACAAAAGTCAGAACATACGGCTCTTTGTCCAACAAGGGCTGCCCCTAGACTTCCTGGTAGAATAAGATTATGAAAAATACATTAGATTGAATGTCAAAGGACAATAGGTTTAAAGATTTCTGTTAGTGGTCTTTAAACAAACAAAAATTGAATAAGTATTATAGTATATGCGTTACCCCTGTAACTTTTATATCCGTCACACGGACCTCGAACACAATAGTATGAATACACAGAACGGATGCGGTATTTCGGTCTAACCTACGCTAAGAAAATAATCATGTAAACAAATAGTAATTTAATGCTGGAAGTTGTTGACAAGTTTATTTCAAATATTTGTTGTAATAGTCCACCTAAAATGAGTGAATTCATAGCTACAAAAGCTAACAATACATAATTTCTATATTTATTATTATGTTTGTAGAAACCGAAAGTACAACACACCCGGGACAATCGGAATACCGAACCGCGGCTGTACAGACTGAGATATTCGGCCGTTTACACACTTTCTCCCAAGGAGGACCTTTTTTCTAAGACAAAATCTAGTCATGTCTGATGAAGATGTCCTTGAAAGCACATTTCAAATGCACAAAAAAAGTAAAGCTAAACTATTGTTATCCTAGCAAAACGTTTAGTCATACTCTAGAATAATGTGTACATTAGAGCACGGATTTACATTACATGTACATTATATTGTAATATAAATCCGTGATTAGAGACAAAAATACGTACAAACCTTGTACAATACAAAGTAGAACAAACACTCTCATGTTAAACTTGTCAAGATCTAATGATACTTGACGCTCTCTATTTAATATCACAATTACATGTCTTATCTTTATTAAGCCCACGTGACCCTGTCACGATTTTCCGCTTCTGTCTTTATAAATATGAAAGGAAGAACAGTCATGAGTGGGAAATTATACATGAAAAAAGTCACACGAAAAATCGGTCAGGCTCAGCTTGGATTATTATATATTATTATATATACATGTATAGTTCAATTAAACTTTAAGTGACCCTGGTCCTTGTCTTGTTTCAACGTTATTTAACGATTGAAATAACAGTTTGTTAACGTGTCGCGGTTAACGCGTCCGACAAGTAATCTAAGGATTGCTACCGCGAGGGGTCGAACCCTATCCGGGGCAAGCCGTTGTTTCACTAAGCAAGAAACTTTATAATCATTGCATAAATCTGGTGGGTTCCAAGATAAAAATTGAAGAGAAAAAGAAACATTTTTCAATGACGCCTCTATAGTATAACGCTAACATTTAGCGCATCTACACGCTATTTTTATAACGCAAATGACATCACGTCAAAATATATGCCCGGCCGTGCAATACCATTTTTACGGAGCCGCAAACATATGCACTTGGTTTTAGGGATAAAAGCCCTTTTGAGATGTTTGTAGAACTAAAAATTGATTGAATGTAACTGCTTTTTAAGTAGATGTCTCGATTCTAAAACCGTTAATTTCCCGATGTTACTAAAATGTTTTTAGTAATATCGGAAAATGACATTTTAGTAACAACGGAAAAATGACGGTGTTAGAGTTACATTCAATCAAATTTGAGTTCTACAAGCTTTTATCCCGAAACCAAGTGTCTATGGTCGCGAAAGCTGCATACGGTAGGTATATCCGATAAATAGTTTCTTATATTTTTTATTTTGAAAAAAATTATTTACATATTTATCCTTAAGAATTCACGTCAAATGATAGTTTGTCATATGTTTATTTTCATTATTTCACAATGAAATGACTCGATACAGATACAGTTGCGCATGTTCAATTTCATCAATAATATAAAGAAAAAAGATTGTATTGTATTTACATATACATGTATCCTCTTCAGGCATTCTCTTATTACACATACCACGGCAAAATTCAATGTACATTCAAAGGCAAAGATGTATGGAAAAAAGTATTTGTATATGAAAATTAAGTGTAACAATTGTCACATGTAACCTAGTAATGAAAGTTTCTAAGTTAAGTGTTTCAATTATCACTTGTCACCTGTAAATTATCACTTGTTACCCCTTCATATGATAATATAAATAATCAACAATTACTTTTATTTCGCATAATACTGGCTAAAACTGTAAAGATTATTATCGTGTGCAACTATTACATTGAAAATATATCTGAAATAGCTTTTTCTGGCATTCAAAATAAAAAGGTCTACTGATAATAATTAAAATTAACGAGTGACATTAAAAAAGCCGGAATCGAGACAGTCACAGGAGAGTTATTCACTGCAACGATGATTGTCTAAAGTTCACTGCGCCGGCATTTGAAAACTGATTTAAAAAATAAAATAAAAATAATAATGAATAGAAGTTGAATATTCTATGAATATGACAATATGAAATATCTCATCACTATTTTTTTTACCAATAATTTAAACAAATTTATTCCACATTTTTGGCAAATTGTAAAGTCCGTAATATTACCCATGACAATAAATACCACAAAATAACTCAATAGTTCACTGCGCCGGCATTTGAAAACTGATTTAAGAAAATAAAAAAATAATGAATAGCAGTTGAATATTCTATGAATATGACAATATGAAATATCTCATCACTATTATTTTTTCAAAAAAAAATCAAACAAATTTATTCTACATATTTGGCGAATTGTAAAGTCCGTTAAATTAAAATAATGGTGTGTCAATAAATACCACTAAATAACTCAATAAACATGAAATATTGCAGCTTTGATTGTCTGTGCTTCCTTTATTGTATTTTGAAATTGAACTTATGATGTTACTGTAATAATAAATTACAAGTACGTTCCAGTCTTTTATATAAACAATGCAAATATACCGGGATTTCGCCTCGTTATTTTTTTTAATTGTCGTTTCGGACAGATGGGTTGTAGTTTTAAAAAATAGAATAGATATTTGTATTAAACAAGTATTTTGCTTCAAAATAAACTTTAAATTTCGAAAATCTGATTATAAATGGAAAAACTATAAGTTTTTATTTGTTTGGGTCGTCAGACCAAACAAATAATGGTAGCGAAATTTCAGAGTCTAATGTTCTTAATTGCAAATGCCGAAAGTAGTCCACTTTTTTGAAGCGGTTACTTCCCTTTTGTATGTACACTAAAGCCGAAAAATTCAGGGGAGATCACTGCGTAAAGATGGTCAAAGACAGGCGCATCGATTTTTAAGCAAAGTTATTCCCGAATGGTCGAAGATTTCTAATATTGTTTTCTGGTATTTTCTGATCGAAAATAACTAAATACAAAGCGGACATTCAATCTCTGACACAGAAGTTTATGACAAACCTAACAACAAGTAGTTCTCAAAACAGCTTAAAACTAGCGATTTAAAAGAAAGAAATATTTTATTATGTTACAAGTATCCAACAAATTACAACGCATTTAAAGTTAAACAATAGTGTTGGCTTATAGAATTGTCAATAAATGCACAATCACAAATTACGCGGATGAATATGATTTTATCAATGAAAATACTATTTTTAGCCATGTAGATTACCGAATACTACACAAACCGAGTAGTGGAATATATAGATTCTACATGTCGGACTGTTTGGGCGAGAGGATTTTCGCTAAAATATTTACTTCAATTTTAAACAACAGGTTTACCCTGAACAAAATACCTCGAAATTAATAAGGATTACAAACCTGAATGCAATGGAAGTTCTAAATTTAGAATGACTTGATAAAGTGTATAACTTCTCCGTGGTACAGTGGTAACGCGCTCGCTTAGTGAGTGAGAGGTCTCGAGTTCGAATCCCAGTCGAGGATTGTTAAATTCTTTTTTTAATTGTTTTTGTTAAGGAAGTAGCCATGATTTACAAGGATAAAGTGTGGCTGTCGTAAAAAAAGTACATAAATGATTTTTTGATGCAACTCTAGTTATGCAGAATTCCGTATGTGCCTTACAAAATGAATTATAATACATAAAAATAAACTTATACAGGAAAATGCATACAGATATACAGTACGATTTAGATTGCAAAGATCAGAAAATACCAAAGAACTTGTAGCCCTTTGATTCTTTATAAATATACATGCTTATAGTAAGCTTCAGGATTATTTACATCTGTGTTAAACAACAGTTAAAAGTCGTTACAAGCCCTAATTTAGAATAATATGGTTTTCTTCAGGCCGTTCACATATAAATTTAACCGTGGCTGAAGGGTTTTCGGGCTCGCTTAGGAAGCGAGAGGTCTGGAGTTCAAATCCCAGTAAAGGTAACTCATTTTTTTAAATTGTTAAAGTCAAATAAACATTGGATTGAATATCAGTGTTGCAATTAGTCTTATAGCCAATTTACTACAATTAAAACGCTGGAAAGCATTGGTGGCACTAAACATATAATCTCACAACATGCACCTTTCTTACATTCTGCGACCCAAACAAATTCAGCGCCTTCTGTGCTTTGATTTGTTAAGTAAACGATGTAAACGGGCTTTTACACTTGGCGCCGGCAAAGTTGCTCGACAATAAAATTGGGAGTTTCAGATCCTTGTAAATAAGGTCCTTCATTACATTGATATAATTTACGGACATTTTTCACAACAAACTCCGCGCACCGGTTACGCAATGAGTGAGACTAAATAAAGGATTGGAGCACCACACTAAATACCGTATTCCGGTATATACCGGACAAGGCGCTTGAATCGTAAAATGCCAAAATCTAGCTTTTTTACGCAACGGAATGAACGTTAATAGGTCTAATTCATCTTTTCACACTGATTTTATATGTATGATAATGCATGAAAAATGTTAAAATCAGCGAAAAAAACGATATTTGTCTATTTTGTGATCATGATTTCTGCAAGCGTCTAGAGGTACTGCTCCAATCCTGTATTGAGCTAAATCCTTACGCAATCCTGTAAGGGGAGATCACTGAGATAACTGTAAGAGGAAGTGAATTATTTCCCTTTCATTTTATTCAAAACCAAAAGAGGAAGTAAAAATAGAAAAATTCCATCTACCTGGTCAAAAGGAAAGTAACCGTTTTTCTTGTACTACAGTATTAAATACAGCATTCAAAGTAAGTTTAAAACTTAATTATATCCATACATCTTCACATTTATATACAGGTAGAATGAATTATGTAAGAAAGTATAGTTAAGGCAATATTTCAGACTGAGCTTTTTTTTAATTTTTGTGTCTCCCTTCATCAATCTAAAAAGAAAATTACATATATTTGTAAATTTTAATTTTGTATTTCAATAACATGAAAATATACATAATAAATTTTTATATTATCTTTTTTTCACAATAAATACTGTATGTGCTGTATATATATATATTGATTATTTCTATGATATACAGTACTATTAAATTCAATATTTAAAGTAAGTTTAAAACTTTATTTTATATATAATATTTCACATTTATATTGGATTAATCAGGTTAGAAAGTGTGACATGAATATTTAATGAGTGTTTAATTTATATTAACTTAAGTATCAGTCTCTTATATCAAAATTCAGAAAAACAAATATTAAAAATTACATAATAGAAGAAAAATACCACAACCAATTAGCGAAAAAAATATACAATATTTTTGATAAATTGATATCTATCGAGCCAACTTATTTATCATATCTTTTTATAATGTCAGGGTTGGCTCTCCTGTTCAGTTCTGTTCTAGGACATTAAGTACAAATAACTAACACATAGAAGTATGTTATAAAATTAATTTGTAAGCTGTATTGAACGATGTTCTCTTTTACTAATATATTACAGAATGTTTCAAGAACCTGACTACAGCGAAAACCTATCACTGATGTTATCAGAGGCTTTACACGACATTGGTGTCAATGAAAATATAGTGATGAGAAGGAGAAGACATTTCATGCTGAGAGAGACTATGGGTAATATCACGTCCAGATTAACCGATCAAAAGGAAACTAACTATTTTCTAGGGAGTCAGAGTGAAGGAACAACTACTAAAGGACTTGATTCAGACACGGATGTGCTAAACTGTCGGCATAATTACAATATAATACAAGACTGGTCAGAGTGGGAACACGGCAAGTTTAACTACCTCATGATACAGGATGAGAACACTACCCCCGGCTATTGTTTCTTGCAACTGCTCAAAGATGATGAACCTCTGCCTGCCACTGTCAATCATAATGTACACCATTTTACTGATAGAAGAGGAAGAATATTGTATAAAAACACAATGATTAATAATTTTCTTGTGGGTGCAGTTCAGCATGGACCATCTATTGCTCAACAAGGACAACCTGGATTATGTGATTTAGATAGAGTATTTGCTTTTCCATGTAAATCATGGCCTCAATCAGCATCAGGTTTGTCAGAGAGACAAGGAATTGGCAGATGGCCAACACAAAAGATGATAAGATATGCAGCTAGTACTGATTGTTTTGTTGTTCCAACAGGAAGTAAGGTCAGTGAATATCCTGAACTGGAATGGAGAATATCTTCAATATTGGCAGAGAGATGTCTAATGAATAATCTAAATATAACACAAATAAGGTGCTATGTGTTACTGAAAATGATTCTTAAGTCCTTCCTTAATTCTCAAGATGAGGTCAATGTATCAAGTTTTATGTGTAAAACAGTCCTATTACATTGTATAAAAAAGAGAGAACCAAGTATATGGAAAGATTACAATTTATTGACATGTTTAACATTCTGCTTATTGGAATTACACAGCTGCATACAGAATGATAGTTGTTCACATTTCATTATACCTGAAAATAATTTGATGGCAGGGCAATTTACAGTGACAGAGACAAAAAATGAACTTTTAAAAAATATTTGTGAACTTATACAGAATGATAGACAACAGTTACTTAGTATTGATATTGATGATCTCGGCCATAGACTTCAAGTTAAACTGTACAGGGTACCACATGGAGCATACTATTTTCCTTCTTCTTTTGAAATATATGAAGAAGTTTTCACTTGGGTATATATAGATATTGCAACCATAATAAGTGTAGAGCACATGCTTATTTTAAAACATTTACACAACGAAAACATTAGAACAATGAAGCATCATATAGTTAAATTGATGAACTTCAGTGATAATGGTAATAGATTAGAACATATTGCATTCAAGTTTCTTGCACCATTTCTTTTTACAACATATGGATCTATCCTAGCATCATCAAGCATTGCTGAAAATAATCAAGTGTCACATCAAGAACTGATCTGCCTATCAGCTGGTTTAAACTCAGATATTGCATCAAGCAAACTTAAATTGGCTTCAGTGTTCTACAGTACAGGAGATATGGAGAAAGCTGAACTAATTCTGAGAAACACTGAGCAACAATATATCTCTCTTCCTGTTTTACCTCTCTGTAGATGCTGGATAAAGGTTAAACCTTCTGTAACAGCAGAATTTATGAGAGTATGTAGTGAACAAAATGAGGACTGTATCAAACATATTACAGCAATGTGTGTCAGATTCATACAAAAAGAGATCAACTGTGTTCCTCATGAACTACAATATGAAATGTTCAGATCTACACAAGGTGACATGATACACAGACTTGAGTATAAAGACTGTTGGATGGACTGGGCTGTAGTTGATTCTCTACCTTTCCTGTACTTCCTACAATACAAGATCTACAGTCATCTACAAAGGCATCAAGCTCAACAACAAGCGCTTAGTAAACTTATAAGAACCATAGAAACTGATAAAAATCTTAAACATAGAGAAACAGCTCTCAACATTTTAGGACAATGTATGGAACAAGAAAACAGACCACAAAAAGCATTTAACTGCTACCTGCTTTCTCTGCAACAAAGGGCAAGAAACAATGCAGCATATATCCATATATGTAAGCTCCTTTCTGGCTTAGTGGTTAACCAATAAAATGAAGACAAAATTAGGCAGTATATTTATGGCTTGTTTACAATGATCGTATACTGTTTGTGTGTATCAAACTGATTCAAATGTCAAAAAAAGACCTGTCATCATTTATTTTTATAACAATATTATTTTGGAATGCCATTAATCTTAAATTGAAAGAATTAATCCAACTTTAATGACTTTGATTATCTAATTTTACATTTAGACATTAAAAATTTAAGCACCACATTGCTCATGAAAACATATTTTAAATTTTTGTTAAGTTTTTCGTTACATTAATAAAAACGTCTATTTCATTTGTGGAGAGTCAGTAAAAATACAAAACTTGGTGTCTGGGATTTAAATTAAATTAAATTGTTCTACATGTATGTGTGACATTTTTTTTAAACTGGCATGAACATGCCTTGGCCATTGTAATATTGCAGCACATCAGCACGACTTAGAAGTAGGGATGCAATTTAATTTTAGCGAGAATAGTTTTTACTTCTAATACAGCCTGATCTTGCACTATAATGAAAATTTTAATAATTAATGAATTTTTAACATCCAATGTATCACGTTACTTGTGCTGTTTATCATTATTTTGTCAAACTGTAAAAATTGGCGATGACAAAGTTCAGTCTGAGCACAAATGAGCTAAAAGGAGGGCATGTTTTATGCCATATGGCGTCAATAGCACGCAGAGCTGCATTACTGGTACTGGTACAACAGTACTTACTGCAGCGATTTTGCAAGTACTGGTACTGATACTGAATTACTATCACAAAATTTTGCTACTACTGGTACTGCTACTGCATTACTAAGCAGTACTTTTGGTTTTGATAAAAAAAAGCTTCAATTTTTCTCATAAAATAAAGGTGTCAATTACATTATTTTTTTTTTTTGTGAAAAAGTAAGTTATAAAATCTATAGATAATTGCTGCAATATTCCATCAAATGTTAACATAGTATTTATCATAAAAAACACCAAAGACTTTAAGTAAAAATTAAATTGAGATACACAGACTCAATAACTCTTTATCCTAAAATATCCTTATTAAAATATTTTATTACTAAAAATGTATTTACTAGTAAAAGAGCAAAATAATAACTAGTTAATTGCTTCTATTCTAAATAATCCTATTTCAAGTGATATTGTTAGCACCATAAAAAGTTGTTATTTACTTTGGTATAAATTGAACAGAGGTGTGAAAGGCAACAAAAGACTGTTGTGTTTTAAATAAAGATAATTGCATTGTATTACAGTTGACTGGTTACTTAACAATAAGATATGACATGAATATATGTTGTAAATATTGTTTGTAAAAAGTATGTTAAAACAATAAAGTTGTAAAAATGTTATGTTAACTTTAAAGTAAATTATGATTTTATTTCATTACTGAATAATATTTGCAATTATTGTTTGAAACTGTGTATTTATTCAAACTTTGATGAATATATAAAAATAATGGTACTGATACTTAATTACTTCCCAAAGAAAGTACTGGTACTGCAGTACCGAGCTAAAATCTAGTACTGGTACTGATACTGCATATTTTGCCAAGTACTGGTACTTAAGTACTACACCCTTAGTACTGATGCAGCTCTGAATTATTAGCACGTTAGAATGGCAATATGTATCAATATTTCTTGCAGCGCAGTGTAATAATCACGGTTAATCCTTCAAATACTTTGTAATTATATTCCTGTGTATTTAACTCGAACCATACATTGCACTCAGAATTGATAACAATTTACTAAATAGAGCAGTATAGTTATAAGTTTATTATCATGACCTACGAATCAAATAGAAACTAGAAATGTGTCCATAGCACACAGGTGCCCCCACCGCGCCACTGTTCTGTCAATCTTATGACTCTGGGTCAAATATTTTTTGAAAACTAAAAATATTTTACTTAGTAAAGGGCAAGTTTGAAGAACTTTACAAATACTGCAAAAAATCCACAAGCAAACCCCAAGGTGCATGAGTACACATGCTGACCAACATTCTTGTAAACTTTCAGGCCTACAAGTGAAATACTTTTTGAGCTATGCATGAACAAGTTGAAAATTTTAAATTATACTACCGGTACTGTAAGTCAAGGGCAATAACTCTAACAAAACTGAAAAAAAATCCACATGCAAAGTCCCAGGTTCATAGCTTCACAGTGATGTGAATCATTATTCCTGTAATTTAGTGATGTTGATCAAGGAACAAAAAACAACAAAATGAAACAGTTTTTACTAAGTCAAGGGAAGTAACTCTACAAATACTGGATAAATCCACAAGCAAAATCCCAGGTGCAAAACTAAATATGCTGAGCAACCTTCCCAAAAGGTTAAAGGACTCTTTGTCAAATCCTTTTTGAGTTACATGCGACACAGGTTGAAAATTGCAAAAAATTTCTAAGTCAAGGACAATAACTCTAAAAATACTAAATAAATCCAGACAAAAATACCCAGGTGCACAACTACACATGCTGATCAACATTCCTGTAAAGTTTCATGACTAGGTCAAATACTTTTTGAGTTACATGCGACACAAGTTGAACATTGCAAAATTTTACTAAGTCAAGGGCAATAACTCTAAAAATACTAAATATATCCAGACAAAAATACCCAGGTGCACAACTACACATGCTGATCAACATTCCTGTAAAGTTTCATGACTAGGTCAAATACTTTTTGAGTTACGTGCGACACAAGAGAACGGACGGACAGACGGACAAGGGTAAATCTAAATGCCCGCCACTAAAGTGGGGGCACAAAAATCTAACACGACAACCTGGTTACACCTGGTTAGGTTTGAGGTAACACCAACACAATATAGGTCATATGGCAATTTTCCAACTTTACTGTTGCGAAAGACCTCAGATGACCGGCCATCTGTACATTATTTTCTGCACAAACGGGAACCTGAGTAGAACCATCAACATTTCAAAACTTAACTGTGTAGCTTTCTTAATGTAGAATCGACGATTGCATGGCTCAAACCTAAAGGGGTGAGAAGCTTGAAGCCAACAACCACAAGGCACGGACACCCCTATTTCTCATTTGTACTTATAACTCATTTGTAATTTGTACCTGTAAATATTGCATATTCAACAATCTACTTACTTAAAGAATAAAATTTTTATACAACAAGAAACACTATCTTGAATTTTATAATTTTATTACAAGAACTCATATTTCAATAATCGACAATATCACAAAATATGAACTTGTTCAATGATGCAAGTAATAATATGAATAATTTACAAGGCTGAAATTTACCCAGCAATGTCCACATTACACTCATTTAATCAACAAAATGGTCACGGAATAGTAATACATGGATTTTTACAGTTACAATAGCACTGTGCTAAATTGTTTATATGTGTACTACTTAATATGTTAACATTATACCTGTAACATTATACTTGTATTACAATTATTACTTAATGTTACACAATTTGGTTAAAAATTAGCCCTACCCGAACCATACAGCATAACTTTGAATTATTTTTTCACAATTTAAATTCAAAGGCTTTTTTATATACTTAGATACAGAACAGTCTGAGACAACAAATTTAGTTCTAGATTATTATATTATCATACAGACATAATAATATTGTCTTATTATAATAATAAATATTTATATTCTATTTTTGGATCAATAAACTGGCCTGTTATCTTAACATGGATGCAAGTTAAAAATATCAGAAAACCTAAGAACCCTGAATTGAATATTGTTTCAATTGTTTTATACAGAAAACAAGAGTTTTCAGGAGTATAAAAACCCTGGACTTCAGGCAAATATCTGAAAAGTTGTACCCATGTTTTAATGTTTTTGAATACGTTACACATTTTCAAATATTTGAAATTAAAACAAATTTCTCAGTTTTTAAACCAAACTCAAATCTTAAAGACAATAATATGGCTGGAATAGACCTCAAATCTTATTTTATCACAGTGACATCAAAGGTAGAAAAAGATAAAGAGAGTTAGAGATAAATGTTGTAGAAACTCAAAGCACATGTACTTTTAAATTCTAAACATCAACATTGAAGAAAAACAGAAAAGTCAACAGAAATAAATAATTCTGAAGGGATAACTAAAATTAAAATTTCATTAAATTATCAACATACACATAATTATTGAGATAGGAAGTTCTGTGAAAACTACTATTTTTTCAATGGGCAAAGTTCAAAACCAAAAGTGATGTCCCATCATAAGAATGAAAATTTACTTCTAAAGATAAGATTCAAATACCAGACTCAATCTGCTTCCTATTGTATAATTTCACATATACAAAGATTAATTTGACTGTTCTACTTTCATTATAACAGGTTTATATATAATTTTCACATATCATGTTTATATACCAATCAAGAATACATTTTTCATATATCAGGTTGATATACCAACCTAGTATAGTTTCATATTTTAATTTTATACACCAAGACTATGTTACATTTTCCTGAGATCCTGGTCGAGATTAACATGTTCTTAAAGCCAAGCATATTTTCCACACAATCCAAAAATAAACTAAACATTTAACGAAAAAATTGTTAAGATAAATTTCTGATCTTACTTCCGAAGTAAATAAAAATGCCCGTTAATGCAGCTATTTTTTTTTTATTTTACTGGGCAGATTAGAGAAACTATTTACAACAGTTCCGAAAGTGGTGACGGTTTACCAAATACTACCGGAACATCAAAATACTTCTAGTTGTATTCCAGCTAGTCATGTGACCCTAAAATAATAATTTTCGCTTCAAAATGAAGTACATTTGTGTGATAGCCAATTTTTTGCTTCAAAATGAAGAACATTTGTGTGATAGCTAATTTTTTGCTTCAAAATGAAGAACATTTGTGTGATAGGCATTTTTTTGCTTCAAAATGAAGAACATTTGTGTGATAGGCAATTTTTTGCTTCAAAATGAAGAACATTTGTGTGATAGGCATTTTTTTGCTTCAAAATGAAGCACATTTGTGTGAAAGGCTTTTTTGCTTCAAAATGAAGCACATTTGTGTGATAGGCATAAGGGAAATATCAACTGTGGGGCAGTTAATTTTTTTGTAAGTTTATGAAAAGTTTCAAAAATAAAATGATTTCAAATGTACATATTTACATCTTGTATGCTTCTGTACAGCAAATTCATTCCAAACAAGACAAATTGGAACATGATTCCCCAAATAGATTATACAATTTTTTCAGCAAACATACAAGCACACTCCATCAGTCCACTACACATTTAGATATAAAAATTCACACCAACTTTTGCTGCATGAAAGACATTTTGTACAAGCCCTTCAAATCACTCATCAAGTCTTTTTATTTCAATTCATTTTTAATGGAAATCGATGATTAACTAACCAGACAAAAATCAATGATTAACTGACCAGACATGTAATAAATATGCCTGTGTCGCTTTCTATGTTGTTCTTTTTTAAATGTAATGAAAACTTTGATTATTCACACTTTCACAATGGTATTAACAATGAATGAATGGATGTTTTTTCTTCACTAATAAAACATTTTCCCGCCCAGAACACGGCAAGTCAGTCCATCACCACTTGTTATCCTTCTCTTAGAAGCACTTTAAGTTGAAATTTGACGCACTAGACACAATCATGATGCACACTAGCTCTGGATCATTGAGAAGGTACGCTAGATCGTACTCTTCCAGATCCAGATTTTGACGTAATGAGGCGCTCTACCATTGTTTTGGCGTATCTAATACGGCTCGATAGTTCTTTACTACATCCAAATTTCTCTATCAATGAATATTTATATACACGAGATTCTCGTTTCTCATCTATATAGGTGACTGCTTGCATAAGTGGGCAGAGAATAATCTTAGTGTGATCCTGGAAAAAGTTTATCTGAAAAGACGAAAGGAAAATAAAGAAAATTTGCTAGATGATTTTTATTTTTCTACATAAGATTTTTGAAGTTGCACTGACACTGTTAATTTGTTAATATTACAATTCTTTCTAGGGATGGAATTTTCCGAATATGTAAATTTCCTAAATGCATAAAACATCAACTGCAAAAAATAAACTTGTCAGGTTATTGCTTGACAAAAGGCATAAATGAGGAAACTCTATTGTTTGATATAACAATTTTTTAAGGGAATTTGCTTTTTAGTCACACCAACACTGTAAAAGTGATATAGCATCTTTCAGACTTTCCTGGTGGAGGGAGACCTTGGGTGCTCCTTGTATGCACAATATTTAAGGCAAAAGCTGGCATCGTAGTCGAACCACAAACCTTTCGTTAACTAGCTGGTTAGCTTTCTTTTAAAGAATCATAAATCCATGGCAGGATTCGAACCCAAACAACAGCAAGAGACAAATGGTTTAAGGTCAGATACATTTACCAGTCGACCACAGAGAACCTTACAAAAATGAAATATCGTACAATTTTATACAGTTCCATTTCAATTTGTACATTAAAATAAAACATTCAGTTTCAAAATGTAAAATTGAGTGTACCTGTAATGTGCCATTACTGAGATGAAGCACTATTGCACTACGTGTTCGAAACCATGTCTTCAAGAATGGCAATCTCACCATGTCATCTGTTTCTCTGGGGGTTATATTTGCACCAGCCTGGTTAAGAAGAATAATAAATCTGTTAATTACATATAATAATAAACCATGACAAGAGTGGGAAAGAACCATTTAATAAATACAATATTACACTGATGTAATAACTATCCAACTTGACATCAATTGCCTATATTACAAAGTGTAAAAGCGCACTCTTGTAAGCCTTTAACTACACTCGAGTGGTTTCGAAGAAGTGCAGAGATTGTTCTGTTTATAGAATTCCCAAAACCAGAATAGACACCCAATAACTTAATAGCAGAACTAACAAACTTATTATTTTTCATTTATTACAAGCTTTCCGGTGGTTAGTAGAAATATATCAGTGAAATATAAAACTGATAATTTCACTGTTTGAAACAGTGAAATTATCAATTAGATCATTTCACAGTTTTGAAAATTAAGCCTCTTACGTTGTTTCAGTGAAATACCAGCGTGCACAGTACCGGAAACCAACTTACCGACGTGACATCATAAATGACGTCACATTGTATTATTATTTGGAGTGCTTTTCATTTAGTATTGAGCTTAAAATGTCTTTTTAAACGTTTCTTTGCATACAAAAAAAAGAAAATTTGTTTAGTTTAGTGTCAGATTGAAATATATTTCACCTCATGAGCACCAAAAGCTCATATTTCACTTGTGGCTGGGCCACTCGTGAAATATACCTTTTGGTGCTCACTTGGTGGAATATTTTCTGATCTTACAATGAACTAAACAAATATCCTCTATCTATTTTCACAATGGAAGCTTTTAAATCATGCTCAAACTTTTCAAAATGTCTGTAATGCTTACATACAAAATAAATAAATGACATAAATAATTCATCTTGTATTTCAATTAAATTCCAAATTTTTGTGAGACTTACCTTTAATAAATGTTCACTCATGTAGTTTCTAAAGTACTTCAATAAGGTAACTTTCTTTGTAAGAGACTCAGGAAAGACTTTGAGGGTGTGGAAATGTTCTGTACTATCTCTTTCAATATACTGAATGTTACTGTAACAAAAAATACCAGTAAAAATTTATTCATTTTTTTTTTTTGGCACCTGATAGCATTCATTTTTTCAACAAGATATGAAAACAGAAAATGATTCATTATAAACTTAAATATGTGTGACAATTTAACCTTAAGCCTGCATGTGGCAACAGAATATACCTATGCAACCAGTGCTAACCAAGATCAGTTGGCATTATTCCCAATCTTGTCAGTAAACATTTTGAATTTTTTCCTTAAACAATTGAAAGATAGACAATTCCATTTATACTCTTTCTAAAGGTGTTTAAACAAGTTGGCTGAGGTGCATTTTTGTTATTTTAATTTAGGGAGATTTTTGTAATATAAATCACAGGCACGAGTATCGGACCTGGGAAGAAAAAATATGACCAGATTGATAAAAAAAAAACCTGTGTTCATCTTAAAAGAGTCAAAAAACCAAAAAAAAAAATGTAAATAATGACCCCCTTTAAAAATATACTATAAGTTAAGAGAAGGCCGGAAACTCCAGATTCGAGCCTACGAGCAAGGGATTCATTTCCCGGGCCGTTGTGAAAACAATTGGCCAGACAATTAAAAAAAACTTTTATCACTATTTCGCGTTTATATTAAGCTTCAAAATTAGACCAACCCCAAGTCTCTAGCCCTTCCCGTTCATGAAATATCTATCAGGAAACGAGCGAATTCGTGCTAAAAATCCTTGGTAGACAGAATTGCGGCACAACAATTCGGTACGTAAACATAGACTAATACATGTATGTCAGCTGACTACGGGTCAAAATTACTTGAATTTACTAAATAATATTACTAAATACATTAATGTGGACCACTCACAACCGTCAGTAGCATCTGATACACACGAGATTCGAGTTTCAAACATTTACACGGTCTTTCAATCGCTTTCTTCGCCATTAGGCATCCTTGTGTGAAACGTTGCGGTTTTCGTTGCTATTGGCCAATCAGAAGACTCGTTACAAGTATCGAACAGCTGATTGACAATGGCGTAGAAAGTAATCTAAAGACCGTGGAAAGATTTGAAATTCGAATTTTGCGTGTATCAGATGCTACTGACGGTTGTGAGTGGTCCACATTAATGTATTTAGTAATATTATTTAGTAAATTCAAGTAATTTTGACCCGTAGTCAGCTGACATACATGTGTTAGTCTATGTTTACGTACCGAATTGTTGTGCCGCAATTCTGTCTACCAAGGATTTTAAGCACGAATTCGCTCGTTTCCTGATAGATATTTCATGAACGGGAAGGGCTAGAGACTTGGGGTTGGTCTCATTTTGAAGCTTAATATAAACGTGAAATAGTGATAAAAGTTTTTTTTAATTTTCTGGCCAATTGTTTTCACAACAGCCAGGGAAATGAATCCATTGCTCGTAGGCTCGAATCTGGAGTTTCCGGCCTTCTCTTAACTTATAGTATATTTTTAAAGGGGGTCATTATTTACTTTTTTTTTTGGTTTTTTGACACTTTTAAGATGAACACAGGTTTTTTTATCAATCTGGTCATATTTTTTCTTCCCAGGTCCGATACTCGTGCCTGTGATATAAATGTATCTAGTCAGGTTATGTATATGTACTGTAAGATGGAGGACAACCCTATGCACATTTATAGTTGTTATTTTCAAATACATGAGTTAAATCCGTCAAGAGACAAGATTAATATTTATAATTAAATTTTAATCACTTACTCTCCATTTGCCAATAGTATAAGTCTTGTAGAATCATTAAACAGTACACCGACACTATTGTCACACAGTTGGTAACCTAGACCGTATTTGTCTGAATAATCCACCCATTTGCTAACCCAGTATATAGGAATAGATGCTGGGTCTTCAGCCTCATCTGTAAATCATAAATTTATCAATGATATACTTGTATTAAACCAAACTAGAACTGCCACTGTCATGGCGTGAATACCCCCACATACTACTTTATCAGAATCAACAGTGGTCAATTAAAGCTCAAGGACAACCTACCTGCCAAATCTGAGGGTAGTAAGCCAGTGCATTGCATAATAATTATGTATTCTACATTTTCTTGTGGCAAAGATCAAAGTGACCTTACCTTTGACCTCAAAACTGAAACTGCCACTGCATGACTTGAATACCCCCATTCATGCAGCTTTGTCTGGGTTTTTTTATGATGAATACTCATCATGACTAACCTCCATGCCAAATATGAAGACTGTGGGTCAAAGGAATCTTAAGTTATTGGGCGGAAAGGCCTTTTTAATCAAGACCCCTGTGACCTTGACCTTTGACCTCAAAATCAATAGGGGTCATCTACTTGTCATGACTAACCTCCTTCCAAATATAAAGACTGTGCAGGGCTCGCGCTGGCAGGAGCCAATGAGCAAATTGGCTCCAAAATTATTAAATTGGCTCAAGAAAATCATGATTGGCTCCAACTTACGAAAAGTATAACTTTTGGAATATCCAGTCTAAATTTAGCATTTGCTATTTTAAGAATGGAAAAGTACACATTTGGTTTTCCATTTACAACTTCCGCTTTACCGCTTCTTATCACAAAACACTGCGACACAGTCTCCTTTTTGTGGGGTCATTGACTGGTCTATATTTGTTACTTCCCTTCCAAATAAAATATCGTTATAAACAGTAACACAGTCTAATACACTGACCTCATGGTATGTTTACATGTTTTATCAGCCAAATATGAAGTCTGTGGGTCAAAAGAATCTTAAGTTATTGGGCGGACAAGGAAAAACCGCCGGACAGACAAGCTGATTCCAGCATGCCCCCCATGCAGGGGTATAATAATGAAAAGTGCTACATCTGTTCATGAGAGATAACGAAAAGTGCTTCATCTGTTCATGACAATCATGAGACAATGATAAGTGCTACATCTGTTCATGAGAGATAACGAAAAGTGTTACATCTGTTCATGAGAGACAATGCAAAATGCTACATCTGTTCATGAGGGACAATGCAAAGTGCTACATCTGTTCATGAGGGACAATGCAAAAGTGCTACATCTGTTCATGAGGGACAATGCAAAAGTGCTTCATCTGTTCATGAGGGACAATGCAAAGTGCTACATCTGTTCATGAGGGACAATGCAAAAGTGCTACATCTGTTCATGAGGGACAATGCAAAGTGCTACATCTGTTCATGAGGGACAATGCAAAGTGCTACATCTGTTCATGAGGGACAATGCAAAAGTGCTACATCTGTTCATGAGGGACAATGCAAAGTGCTACATCTGTTCATGAGGGACAATGCAAAGTGCTACATCTGTTTATGAGATACAATGCAAAGTGCTATATCTGTTCATGAGAGATAACGAAGTGCTACATCTGTTTATGAGATACATTGCAAAGTGCTTTATCTGTTTATGAGATACAATGCAAAGTGCTTTATCTGTTTATGAAATACAATGCAAAGTGCTACTTATGTTCTTGAGACAATTAAAAGTGCTACATCTATTCATGAGAGATAACGTACAGTGCTATATCGGTTCATGAGGGATAATGAATACTGCTACATTTGTCCAGGAGATAATGAAAAATGTTACATTTGTTATGAACTTATGACAGCTTGCACTAGATTTTGTGCAGTCCTCAAACTCAACACTAAACATAAAGGAATCCATGATCCTGAAGGACCAGAAAAAATTGAGGAAAGAATTTTCTATTTACAACTTCAGCAAATACAAGAGCGATCAGTAATCACATGTGTCGCCTCATGATGGCCAATTTCATGTTGGGACAAATTTTGTGACAGACGGACAGACAGACGGACAGTGCACAACTAGACTAACCACTTTGTACTGATCATTCCTGTAAAATTTGGATAAAATTGCACCAGTAGTTTATGAGGAGTAGTCCGGACAAGCTTTTGCGTATCTGGCAACACACAGAAAAAAACACCTTTTTATCAAAGGGCCATAACTCGGCCAAAAATCATTCAACCGGAAAACCCGTGCAATATGCGCAAGGACTTGAGCTACAGATCAATCCTGTAAAGTTTCATTGAAATTGCATAAGTGGTATAAGAGAAGTAGTTCAAACAAAACTTTAAAAAGTGAAAATGATAAAGGGCCATAACTCTGACAAAATTCACTGAATGGTAAATTGCTGATTAATATGCACAACTAAACTTGTACTGATCATTCCTATAAAGTTTGGATGAAATTGCACCAGTAGTTTATGAGGAGTAGTCCGGACAAGCTTTTGTGTATCTGGCAACACACAGAAAAAGAAACCTTTTTATCAAAGGGCCATAACTCGGCCAAAAATCATTCAACCGGAAAACCGTGCAATATGCGCAAGGACTTGAGCTACAGATCAATCCTGTAAAGTTTCATTGAAATTGCATTAGTGGTATAAGAGAAGTAGTCCGGACAAACTTTAAAATTAAAAATTATTAAAGGGCCATAACTCTGACAAAAATCATTGAACCGGAAAATCCTGACAATATGCACAACTAGACTTGGTACTGATCATTCCTGTAAAGTTTGGATGAAATTGCACCAGTAGTTTATGAGGAGTAGTCCGGACAAGTTTTGTGACGGACGGACGGACAGACGGACAGACAGACAGACAGACAGACGGACAGACGGACAGACGGACAGACAGACGACGGAGAAGTGATCCCTATATGTCGCCACTACTCCGTAGAGGCGACACAAAAAGTAACAACGCAGACTACAATTATAAACAATAATCAGGTCATTAAGATCAAGATTCAAGAACTTCTCTAAACATAAGCAACTAGAAAATTTTTATCTCTTAACGTTACAAAGATAAAACAGAATATCCAAAAAATGACTGAATAATTTCACATGGGAAACCATTCACATATAAATAAAGGTCATGCTATATGCTTAATAAAATAACATTTTAATGTGATATGAACAACTTATATAAGGATTTAAAATGCATTTTCATAAATTGTTGTTGAACATATCTTACCTTCACATATATTGATACGCTCTGACGGTTTGGCCGCAACAACTGCTGACAATTGAGCTAACAGATCACCAAGATAGAAATCTGCAGGTTCGCCTTCATCTGTAACAGTGACACATATAACATTATAAGGACATTGTTCATAGTATGGCATTTCTTCAAAACTACTTATCACCACAAACTGTCATCACCAAAACTTGTTAAATGCTGATTCAGTTCAAAAGAAATTCAGTAGATTGATTACATCCCTCTACCACAGTAAAGGTCACATGGGCGATTTTTTCAGCCTTTCTGGTGGATGAAGACCTCAAGTGCCTGTCCAAGCATTATTTCAGGCACAAAATGGCACTAGAACGTTCCTCACATGAAAGAATCCAAATCCAAAGTACCTGGCTGTTTTCGAACCCATCCCAATGAGGGCCAATTGGTTTTAAGTCGAACAGCCTGAACCACTGTGACACAGACCCCTAGATATCACATATATACCAAATCATATCAAATGATCAACGAGTCTATTTCAATAGAAGATCTTAATTTGAACTGATTAAGTTCTTTACCTCTTTTCTGTCCTACATCACCACCTCCTCTTTCTGCTAGAAGACCATCCTGTGTCATTGGTCTCTTCTGGTCTTTGGCTCGGGACTCTATTGTCTGTGCTGTAGTTTCTGTAAACATTATCATTAAAATACATTTACTCCGCATTATGATAATTTCAGCTTGATTTTCAGACACAATACAAACCTATGACAACAAGTTACAAGATTATATTGTATGAAAAACAAATTCATTTTTATATGCAGGTGTCCCATGCTTGCCAGTGACCTTTAATAAACTGTTGAAAAAAGTAGCATTTCACTACATTTTATAAATTCATTAGATGCAAATTTAGAAAAATCTGTCATAACATCCGGTGTGTGATCCTTTTTATTTAATATTACATAAAAATCTTATTTCAGAATTTTTTTATGAAAACAGAACTAACATTTTCATTTAGCACTTTTCATTAATTTACAACAGCAAAATGATGTCACCCTTCTTTCATCTAAGACGAAAGGGAATGACATCATTAAAAGTACGCAACTTGTATTACGATGGAATGTAAAGCAGGTTTTTCTAGCACAAGTGTAAACAGTAGAAAATCTTATCTGATACGCAATAAATACTTCTTTAAAGATGGTATAATTGAGTATAGCAGATTGCAGAAAAGTGGGTTGTTTCTGGAAAATGCTACAATTTTAAGCTAAATTTCGTTTTCTTACAACAATTTTAGGTGTTTATTTATAAGGTGAAAGAACACTTGTATAATGGTAAATTTTCTGTTACCTTCTGCAGGAGGGCTGCTTAAATTTCAGCCATTTATTTTTTATAAACTCTAAACTTTATACCTGTATTTACCTGCTAAAGGCAGGAAACATTGACAACAAAATCCTTTTGAAGGTAACTTTTGCAAAAGAAAATATGTAATACTTAACACCACGAGTATTGTCAATCATTATGTAAAAGTCCAAAATCCCCCTTACAATGAAAACAACCTGAACCCCCCCCCCCCCACAAAAATGAGAGTGAGGGTGAGAGCCCCAAAAGACTGCAAAGTTAAAGAAATAGTAGAACAAAAGCATACTTTCAGTTCCATTAAGCTCTAGAAGAGGTTTCCTGTGCATAGACTCTGATTTAGCAAGAGTGTCAAACCTGGGAGCCATAGTGAGACAGCTGGTGGGCAATCTTGACGGTAGGTAACCTGAAAATAATTTAAATATATGGTCATCCATACAACTCTGAAACATAGTAACTTGTTTACTACGATATGTCATCTAATATATCTTGTTGTTTCTTTTACCACACTTATTTTGGAGTCTTCAGTATTTGCCACTTCATCAAGTTACTGTAACTTATCAACCAGGCCTAGAACCTCCTTGTATATTACACAAACAAAAACTATACATGTATTTCCTTACTTGATAAATTCCAAATTTGTATAATTTCACAGCTGTGATGTCTCAATCATTATTTAATTGATTACATGTTAATATAAAGCCATCATGGCCCTTCATCAGTCATTAGAAGTTATCAAATTGCTTTACCAGTTACTTGTTTCAAAAGTTTTACTTCTATTTTAGCACTAGACATTTAGTCCTCTTAAATTAGGTGAAAGTCAAATTTAAACACTTTAATCTGTTTCCAGTCGTAACTATCTATAATATTTATCATTAAAATCAGTTGAAAGTCAATAAATGCTGTCACAAATTAAGATAAACAGTTAACACATGATTTCATAAAAAAGCACAATCTGTTTCAGCTTCCCCGAAGCTTTTTATCATTCGTTACCTGAAGTGAAGAATTCATCTTCCAAAATATTATCCATATTTGGTCGCTCTGTGGGGTCTGCTTTGAGCAATTTTTGTATGAGGTTTCGAGCACATGGACTAACTCTAGATGGTATATGATATTCGTTTTTCTTGATTCGAGTGTAGGTGTCCTTAAGGTTTGATGTCTCAAAAGGAGGTTTCCCAACCAATAATGTAAATCTGAAGTCATCAAAATAGCATTCTAACATGAACAGCATTTTTCCCTATTGAACATAGAAGAACCGAAAGTGTGTGTTATTATCCTATAAAATCACTTAAAATGTTATATCATGTCTGCAATTTTGTTAAATTCCTCAATTCCTAAATTCATGTAAATCAGCAATAATGTTGTATTCTTTATTTTTTCCTTCCAACTAGCCTCAAAGAAGTGTCATTATCTCAAATTCAATCCTGATTAGTATTTTGGATGCCACTTTAACTTAAACATCTTACGTTTCAAATTTTTGTTAGCCAAAATGGAAACATATTTTCTTCAATTTAATGGATTTGGTGACTTGCAACAAGAAGAAAACTGGTTTTTATGCTAGAAAGGTCAATCCCCATCCCAACCTCAACATGTTATATGTAATTTCTTTTTAAAGGGGCAACATTCGCTGCCGCGGCAGCGAGTATTTGTGGGTGTGACTAATCAGTGATGTAAAACTGTCTGTTATAAACCCTGAAGTATAAATAGCATGCAGTGTTAACCTGCAGAGAGAATGTAAACAAAAACAGCTGATTTTACACAGGAGAGGTTTAATACTCAAAGATTAATTAAAGACATTATCAAGTCATCTTGTCCAGATATTATTTTTGAAGTCAGTTGTTTTTCTTTTTTTTTCACTGGAATGCTTTATGTGTCATTCATCAAGTCAGACAATTATATCAAAATCCAAAAGATGTGCCTTACATGGGGCATTTCTTTTAGGAACAACCTGCTAAAAATGTTCTTGACAGGAATTTAAAATACTTTTAAACTGTTAATGTATAAATTTTTTATGCATATCCAACATTTAGTTTGATTAACATTTGTGAAATGTAATTTTTGACTACAAGATATTTACAAGTAAATGAAATATACCTGGAAGTTTTTACTGTTTTCATGAAGTTTAAACCATTCAAAAACAAGTTAAATCAGTACTTTGAAATTAAAAAAAATCATAGATTAATGGATTATTGTAAATTTGTTGGATTTGATAAAGCAAGTCAGTAAAAGTTATTGTTTTATTCAGCATTCCAATGTGTCGTCTGCTGAAAATCTCCCTCCCTGAAATATACATCGTCTGCTACAAATCTCTCTCCCTGAAATAAACACTGCCACGTGCGTCTGTTTACTACTGAAGGTTCATGACCTGTAATGATCACATGGCTCCTCCCAGGGAAATTCAAATTTCAAATTTGACAGCCAGTATTTTTTTCCAGAAATACACTTAACAAAGTTATATTTTGAATAATTTTGGTCAATCTTTATCAAAAATATCTATGCCTACAAACATGCCAAGTGTTGTTTAAATGCATTTGGTAATTAATCTTAAATCTTTGAAAAAGGGTCCCTGAAGTGAAGCATGCATAAAATTAATAAGAAACCTGCCCTAGCGCCATCTGCTGGCTTTTATAGTCCAGTTGGGCCTTTAAGGATAGAGGTGTCATGAACTGTTAACTCCATCTAAAATAAATTATTGCTACTAAGTTCATAAAGATTTATTTTAATTATTACACAACTAATGCTTACAAGATACATCCTAATGACCAAACATCTACTTCAAAACTGTGTCCTTTTTTCCCCAGAACTTCTGGAGCGATGTAGTTTGGTGTTCCACATAGTGTTCTATAAAGAAATAAAAATAATAATTGTGAATTTTATAAGCAGATTTGAATATTGTTAATTTTTCAACTAAATTTGTACAAATTATTTTGTTATAGAAAGTTAAGAACAGTGTCACCATAGTAACTTATTATAACAAAAATTTTAATTTATAGTAATTTCACTTATTTTCATGCACAAGTACAGGTTATCCAATACACACTTTGAAAAAATAAAATGAATAAACCACCCAAAAAATCAGATTTTATCATAAAATTGCTGGGTAAATGACAGGTTAACACCAAAAAATTTGATTTAACGTAAAAATTGCTAAGCAAATAACATGTGAAGTAATGACTTACTATAAACACTTGTTTCACCAAACGTGAAACTTCTCACCTTTTTCTTTCTCCGTTATAATCGACTCTCGTAGCAAGACCAAAGTCTCCGACCTTTATATCCATGTCATCATTGATGAAGAGGTTACCAAGTTTGAGATCTCTATGTATAATGTTGTGTCCATGAAGGTACTGACATGCCTGAACAACTTGTCGTACAAAATAACGAGCTTCTGGTTCTGTCACAGCTTTCCTTCTCTTGTGTAACTCCATCAAAGACTAAACAATCATAATGTAAACAAAACTTATGTGATGTTTTCATATTAGGTACATAATACATTAAACCTTATCTACTTGAAAAATATATTCTCTTTTAATGAAAAACAACTTAACTTGTCTAAATTGAACTATGATATCTAACAGATCATGTATATCAACATGGGTCATAGAAAATAACATCTCGCAAACAAAAAGTTGTGTTTGATTCTGCAGCAATAAATAACATTGCTAATGCCAATACAAAGTGCCTTGAATCATAATAATAATGATTAAGTCCTGTTAATAGTATTCTTGCTAAAAATTCCAAGAACATCTTATTCTTAAACATTCATTTTCATATTACAATTAATAGAAAAACATTCACACATGGGTTAACAGTTAAATTAGACAGTCCTTTAAATATCAATATAAAAATGCTAAAACCGATCAGGATGTAGACTTGAAGGCAGAAAAATTCCCTAAATTGGTTAATAATCTTGTCCAGATTGATAGACGGAGAAGTTGATTACAAGATTTTTAGTGTGGTAGGGGTTAAAACAAGTCAATTTTGCTGACAGCAAGCAAGTAGTTAATTGAAAGCAGGAAAAATTCATGTAAATACCCTTCTTCTGCACAACTCCAGTAAAATGTAGACATTGTCTGGGTCTTCAAAGAAACTGTGAAACTTCACCACATGTTTGTATGAAATCTCTCTATGTATAGAAATCTCCTGTGTCATCTGTTGAAAACAATAAACAAAATTAGCAAAACAGAAATTATAAAAAAAAATTAATTGGCAACATCATCAATATACTGTATATTATTGCTTCTTAAATTAGAGTGTTTTTTTTTTTCTTTTTTAAAATTATATCAAAGGCAGTCTTTCAGGTTATCATATTGTGTTTCAAGTTAAAATATATTAACTTTGAGCAAGATTAATGATAAGGTTTTTTCTTGCATATCAGACAGGATTATCTAATATTTACACTGGTGCAAGAAAACTCTATCTTACATCCCCCAGGTGATGTAAGACAAGTCGCGTGCTTTGAATGACGTCATTGCCGCACGCCTTTAATGAATGAATTGCGTTCATAGGATGACGTCACTTAACTGTTATGAATGAAGTTATAAGTTCATACGCTACTATAAGAGAAAAAGTGCGTTATGAGAATATCCGTTTTGGTAATTTCTGTCCTAAAAATAATTGATATGTAATATGCAAGAAAAAGAATAAAACACCAGCTGTCAGTGCAGACAGGAATATCTAAGCTCTTGGGTAACTGTTTAGTGGAAACTCGGCAGAGCCTCGTTACCGCTGTAAACAGTTACCCTTTGAGCTAGATATTCCAGTCTGTACCGGCAGCCAGTGTACGATCCTTAAAATCTCATGCTAAAGCCTTTACAGTGAGATGATGATATAATATTTGTCAGTGAAATATGAGTTGTATCACACCTTGTCTTTCTGGTGCTGCTTCACAAGCAGGGTTTTGGACACAATCTTTCCAGCAAATATTTCCTTTGTATCGAGATCTTGAAGCTCGTAACATTTTGCAAAACCACCCTGAAAATAGAAAAAAATTTAAAAAAAAATGAATAAAGTTTTCGACTCCTTTTTAAGCTGTATTCAAACAATGTTGAGAGGGTCTAAAAATAGGTGCTTGGCAAGTATCAGTATGATCTATTATTTTCCATCATAAATACAACTTAGGCGAGAAAATCACCATGTTTGATTGAAATGCTATACATTAGTTATGTTCCGATTGTCGCAAGTCGCAGTTACAGTGACTGTGAAACTTGAAGGTTGTGAAATGAAAGGCTTTGACTTTTTAAAGGACATTGGAAGTGTGGAGGAAAAAGATGATGAAAAAGTTCATCTCTTCATATAAAGTTAACATTACTGAAATAAATTGAGTTCCAGTTAATGATTAATCACAAGTTATAGTTTGTTGAACAGTTGAATTTAAATAAACTATTTGAAGTTTTTGTCAATTATCCACAAGCAGTGGTGATGTACATACTTTAAAAGTACTTAAATACTATTAAATCAGGTATTTTTTTCTTTAAAATTTTGATGTGATTGTCTTATTTCTGATCAAAATGTCTCCAATTCTTTTTTGTTAATGAGACAATTGTCCCTATTTTTTTTGTAACCTTAGCAGAACACTGAAACCACTGGAATTTTTTTTGAATTTTTTTTTTTTTTTGAGATTTGTGAAACTGATATTTTTAAACCCTAAAATTGCCCAATTTTGTATTGCAAATATTTAGCTATCTGATTTTTTGGTGTTTTTGGAATTAACACCACAATCTGTTTTAATTTATCACTTACATTTTTTTTTTAATTCACACAGAAAATTTAATAACCTTGTAAGAAATTCGGATTTGAAACCACTAGGCTAGTCGGACTACCAGATTGGAATATTCACTAGCCCAAAACACATTTCACTAGCACAATTCATTTGTTCAAATCAAATGTTTATATTGTCTCAGAAAATACAGTAGCCTGGTCGGGCTTGTTACTTTGAAAAGTTGGTAGCCCGAGGAGAAATTTAGTAGTCAGGGGCTATAGGACTACTGCTAATTTCGAACATACTTTACTGTCTTAATCTAATGAAATATGAATTTAAAACATATATTAAAGGTTTTCAATCCAAATTTTTTAACATTTTTACCATATTAGGCATTATACTGGTGAAAAAAAATGTGATAAAAAACTGTAATGGTAAGGTTGTCCCCTCTCACAAAATATCCAATTATAAAACCAATATTGAATACTTATAGAAAAAAATGTTTCTGGTGCTTATTGATAGACTTACTTTGAAAATGTGACAAAAATTGTCAATTTCTATGTTAATGAGAAAAAAATACAAAATGTTAAAAAACTGAAAAGGGATTTTACACTAAAACACCAAAATTACAATCAGAAATGAAGAAATATTAACTGAAATATAGGATTTAAATCATGTATTTATTATATAATTTATATAAAATGGGTCAAAGACAGAAAAGGCCGGGTTGCATATGTATACAAAATATCACGAGGCTGTGATGTTACTTAAATTTTCTGCCACTGTCTGACCATTGATGTTGAAAATTTAACTTAGTTGGTAAACCGGAAAAGAATGAGCATCAGACCTGAAATTGAATCCCACAATATGGGACCACAGTCATGTCAATGCTGTGAACCACATATCAAGAGGCTGTGGTAAGTAGTTGCTGAGAAAACTGTTACGAAAATTTCCTACTATCTATTTTGATCATTAATTATGTCAAAATTTAATGTTGAAAATTTAACCAAGTCGGCAAACAGGAAGTGGATGAGAGACAGATCTGAAATCAAATCCCACAGTATGGGACCATGTGTTGATGCTGTATACCAAATATCAAAAGGCTGTGATAAGTAGTTGCTGAGAAAACTGTTACGAAAATTTCCTACTATTGACCATTAATGTTGAAAATTTAACTAAGTCGGCAAACAGGAAGTGGAATGGCGACAGACCTGAAATCGAATCCCACAGTATGGGACCATGTGTTGATACTGTATACCAAATATCAAGAGGCTGTGATAAGTAGTTGCTGAGAAAACTGTTACGAAAATTTCCTACTATTGACCATTAATGTTGAAAATTTAACTAAGTCGGCAAACAGAAAGTAGATGAGCGACAGACCTGAAATCGATACCCACAGTATGGGACCATGTGTTGATGCTGTATACCAAATATCAAAAGGCTGGGATAAGTAGTTGCTGAGAAAACTGTTACGAAAGTTTTTTCCCCGCCTGCCCGCCGCCCAACATTCACCATATTATAACCCGGGTTTGCACCAGTGCAACCCGGCCAAAAATTATTATTTGTGGACACCAAATTTCTTTACTTTGAAAACAAAATCAATAATTTTACAACAAAAACAAAATTATCTACTTTGAAATAAAATGAACATGTTATTTTTAAGCATCTAGTGGACAGATAAGTTTTTAAACTTAATATTTATGCTTATATCATATATGAATTTGGACACATTATCTTTTGTTACTTTGTGTTTTCAAAATAAGGGTACAATAGGGGACGGATGTTACAGAAATGAACTAATGATTCTTTTTTTCAATAATACTTTAATCTTGTTCATATGTTGCATGATAGAGTAGTAAGCTTTTCAACTGTATAGGAATGTTTCACACAATAATAAAATACTATTTAAAACTAAGAACTAGCAGGAAACAAACACAAAATCCAAAACAGGATATATAGAAGAGGTACAAAAGTTAGAGATGTTGAAAGTATCCTTGTGATTAAAATTGGTCAATTAGTACAACATAGATTCTTTAGCCTTCTATAGTAAACTAGAGGATGCTTTTGTAAAAAAGCGCATGTCTCCCCCACTGCTGAGAATAACTGTGAATGGAAACAGGAATGGAAATGGAGATAAAAGAACAGAGTATATAAAACCAGACAACTGATATATCACTGATATATCAATAATAGTTAAATGTCCTCACTGATAAGAACTCTAGTTATCATCCGGAAATGAGAAAATGACCAATGGTCACTGTGACCTTAACCTTTGACCTACTGACCCCATAAACAAGAGGGATCATCTGCTCAATAAGACCAATCATCCTATGAAGTTTGAGGGTTGTAGGTCTAAAGGAACTCTAGTTATCATCCGGAAAGGAGAAATTAACCAACAGTCGCTGTGACCTTGACCTTTGACCTACTGACCATTAAAACAATAGGGATCATTTGATTAATAAGACCAATCATCCTATGAAGTTTGAGGGTTGTAGGTCAAAAGGAACTCAAGTTATCATCCGGAAATGAGAAATTGACCAACGGTCACTGTGACCTTGACCTTTGACCTACTGACCCCAAAAACAATAGGGATCATCTGCTCTATAAGACCAATCATCCTATGAAGTTTGAGGGCTGTAGGTCAAAAGGAACTCTAGTTATCATCCGGAAACGAGAAATTGACCAATGGTCAGTGTGACCTTGACCTTTGAACTACTGACCCCAAAAACAATAGGGATCATCTGCTCAATAAGACCAATCATCCTATGAAGTTTGAGGTCTGTAGGTCTAAAGGAACTCTAGTTATCATCCGGAAACGAGAAATTGACCAACGGTCACTGTGACCTTGACCTTTGACCTACTGACCCCAAAAACAATAGGGATCATCAGCTCTATAAGACCAATCATCCTATGAAATTTGAGGGCTGTAGGTCAAAAGGAACTCTAGTTATCATCCGGAAACGAGAAATTGACCAACGGTCACTGTGACCTTTGAACTACTGACCCCAAAAACAATAGGGATCATCAGCTCTATAAGACCAATCATCCTATGAAATTTGAGGGCTGTAGGTCAAAAGGAACTCTAGTTATCATCCGGAAACGAGAAATTGACCAACGGTCACTGTGACCTTGACCTTTGAACTACTGACCCCAAAAACAATAGGGATCATCAGCTCTATAAGACCAATCATCCTATGAAATTTGAGGGCTGTAGGTCAAAAGGAACTCTAGTTATCATCCGGAAACGAGAAATTGACCAACGGTCACTGTGACCTTGACCTTTGAACTACTGACCCCAAAAACAATAGGGATCATCTGCTCAATAAGACCATTCATCCTATGAAGTTTGAGAGCTGTAGGTCAAAAGGAACTCTAGTTATCGTCCGGAAACGAAGAATGGACGGACGGACGGACTGACGGACGGACTGACGGACAGGGCAAAAACAATATGTCTCCCCCCGAGGTGGGGGAGACATAACTAGTCATCTATCCCTGCCCCTCATAAAACAGTTGGATATGGGTCCTAACTATATATACACTAACACAGATGGGGATGGCATTTTATTGGAAGTTAATGAGCTGTATATTGGGAAGTGTGATAATATATTACAAAACAGTGGGGGTGCCAATATAGGGTGATATACTTGTTCATAACAGTGGGAGGAACTAACTGGGTGATAAACTGGTTCCAGGGCCTTTTCACTAGTTTTGGGGAAGGCGCCCTAGCCCTTTATGTGGGGAAAAAATGCACGGTTTTCATACTTTTGGGGAAAAAATCTTATTTTCCACTGGCAGTTTAACCATTATTACTATAAATAAAGACTTATTTAAAGGGAAAGACAAGGTTAAAATAAAAACTTGATTTCAGAAAAAGAATACTATAAATAATAAGTCTGCAAATTTTCTGCCGCCAAATAATAATATTAAACGAATGATAACAAAATTTAAATCGCTAAATCACCGATTTCTACAAATCGGTAAGCGCGGCCATGTTTGTGTATTGGCCGTATAAAAACAGGTGCGCGTGATGTCATTTCCCCACATCTTTTAGATTCATGATAAATCTAGTTGAATCGTAAGGAAATATTAATATAATAAAGTATGGATCTGACAATTTAATTTTCACAGGAGGTGTAGAGTAGATTTTTTATGGTTCAAAATACGTAACAATATCAAAAAAAATAATAAAAAATAAATTAAAGAAACGTACGGCTAGCCAAAAGCTCTAGCCATACGTGAGTCACGAACGACTAGCCAGGACGCACTGTATTGT